TAAAGTGTGGATTTTTAAGAAAACTGAAGGATTTAAAAAGAAAAAAATGTTTAGGATGGGACTCTAAAAAATCCCCACAAAATACACCTTTGTGTTATGCTGTAGTTCTCTGTTAGCTGAGGCCGAGCAGTTAAATTGAGTTCTATGGACAATTCTCGGTAGACCATGTGAATTATGTCTTTTTTGTCTGCATACCGCGACAATCCCCTCCAAACACATGGTGCTTTCACTTCAACGCTATCTATCCAGATATATAATAGATCCATGGTTCAGTCTTAACCTGAAACTGCGGATATGGGTAGGAGTCCTGCTCTGCTCCTCCGGGTTCGGATAAAAACCGCCACAGCAGCTCCTTTTTCTGGACCCGTTTGGACACCGTACCACAGTGATGCTTTGAGATGGTTAAATTGAATGAGAATTAAATCCTGTTAATCCGGGCCATTTCAACATTTTGACAAACATATTTTAACGAAAGAGATGTTGTCGCCTCTTTTCTAAGTCATTTTTTGGGGAATTTAACGTGATGATAATTTTCTGCCAGGCTCCCCTTGGTAGAAAAAGCATTTCGCGACCCCCCTCCTACGTCTTTTCGATCTCCTCATAAAAATCCACTCTCAGCCCAATATAGTCAAACATTAACTCTCAGTTGTTTTTCTTATAGGAAGCATTTTGTATTAAAAATCTGGCCAAAAATGGTACTCGTTCAGTCCACAGTCAATATTTATAGTCCTCTCCCACTCTCCCCTACTCAGGTGCCAGATACGCACCAAATCCAATCAGCCCCCCCCCTGCATACACAAGGATTATTTTAATCCAGTGGTGGTTTTTTTTTTTTGTGTCAGTCTCTCACATTGCCAGGAGGCCGTGCTAATGTTGAATGAATGTTTTTTTTATTTTTTTATGATTTGGACATTGAGATTCAGAATAAACAAAATAAAAGCAATGTAATTATGCATAGATTATGCAAAATAAAATACACCTTTTGAAAGTATGGGGCCATTTTAATGATGACATTGACATACAAATAGTACATACTTCTACTTTATATATGCAAAAAAAACTGTCATATGGTGTATGTTATTGGGTTATTATCATATTAATAAATGAAACGTTTAGTCTAGTTGGGGATCGGTCCTTCTTGAGCCGGATGTCAAAAACATCATTTTTTTTGGAGCTGACCATCATTCCTACTGGAGATCTGAAACAGCAGCGTGGCTTGGAGGTTGGCAGGTCGTAAAACAACTGCAGCCAACAGTTCCCCTCTTTGTGGGGTGGATCAGCTTCGAACTTCGGATTGGAAGACACAAAAGCCACGGACATCGCGATAACAAGCAAGTGTGAAGTTACTTTGAATCAATTTACTTTTGACTCAAAACTAGAGGCCGGGATAACGAGGTTATATCCTTTTTAATAATAGCGAGGACTATTGGCTTAGGCCTGGATAACGTAAAAAGGTTTTATTCTTCTAATAGTCAGAGAGCTATTAAAGACAGTTCAAGGGGAAGCCCGGATAACAACAGGTATTCTTTTAGATAGTCTGGAACTATCATAGACTGTAATAAAAACGGGTTATATATTTAGAGTAAGTCGGAGGACTACTTTTTACTGCATTAAAAGTGAACGGAGTTCATTTTGAATTAAAGACGTCTGTGTGAATGTGTGTGTGAAAGGAGATAAAATCTATACTCGAAGCATCGACAAACCAACCAGAAACCTTGCGGTGATAACAAAAAGTTGTCGGCTGGGTGAAGTAGAGTTGATTGCATCTCATTATGTTTAAAGTAATCGTGAAAGTGGTCTAAAACAATTACATTCCTTGTGATTAAACACCCAGGAAAACCGGAATGAAACATTAAGTTTTATCTAGAAGCTTGTTCTCGAGGAAGGTGATTGGCCCGAGGGCATTCCACTAAGATCGTTACAAATGTGTAATTAATATCCACTGTTGTATAAGCAATAGTTAGTAAATAGAAGTTGAAGAAGATAGCTAAGTAATTAACTAAAGATAAATCTGGGTCAATCTTGTACTAAAAAACTGTTGGATCTGAAAGGGGATAATAACAACAATAACATACTCCATTGACATTTTTTTTTGCATATATAAAGAAGAAGTATGTAATATTTGTATTCAAGTCATCATTTAAATGGCCCCAATATTTCAAAAGTGTTATGTTATTTTGCATAATCTATGCATAATTAAATTGCTTTTATTTTGTTTTTCCGGATCTCAAAATGTCCAAATACAAAAAAATACAAATTCATTTCATTCAACAGTAGCCCCCCCACGGTCTCATGGCAATATGAGGGAGACTGACAAACAACTGATAAAATAATTCCTTGTGTTTGCTGCTGGATTTTGGTGCGTATCTTGCAACCCTGAGTCAGGGGAGATGGGAGAGACTATAAAATATTGACTGTGACTGCAGTACCATTTTTGGCCAATTTTGACATACTGCTCCTATAAGAAAAAAACCCTGAGAGTTAATGTTTGACTATATTGGCTGAGAGTGGATTTTATGAGGAGATCGAAAGACTAAGGAGGGGGTCCGCGAAATGCTTCTCTTCTACCTAAGGGAACCTGCAGAAAATTATCAATCACGTTAATTTCCCCCCAAAAAATGCAATTAGAAAAGAGACGACAAAATCTCTTTCGGTAAATATGTTTTTCAACATGTTGAAATTGGCAGGATTAACAGGATTTAACTTCTCATTCAATTTAAACCATCTAAAGCATCACATGGTGATACCGTGTCCAAACCGGTCCAGAAAAGGCTGCTGTGGCAGGTTTCTATCAGACCCAGAGGAGCAGAGCAGACTCCACCCATTTTCCGCAAGTCTTCAGGTTGAAGACTGAACCATGGATCATATAATATCTGGATATAGATAGCTTGAAGCTGAAAGACCCATGTGTTTGAGGGAATTGTCGCGGTACTGCAGACAAAAAAAAGACATAATTTCACATGGTCTAACCGAGAAATTGTCCCCATAGAACTCATTTTAAACAGCTCGGCCTCAGCTAACAAGAACCTACAGCATAAACAAAGGTCGTATTTTGTGGGGGATTTTTAGAGTCCCATCCTAAACAGTTTTTCTTTTTAAATCCTTCATTTCTCTTTAAATCCACACTTTAGTGCCTCAACTCTGCTTGTTTGCCTCCTGCACTAACTATCACCAGGGCTTAGACTGAACTCACTTAAGCAAATGGGTGGAGTCACTCTGCTCCTCCTGGGTCTGATAAATAACCTGCACAATAGCAGCGCCTTTCTGGACCAGTTTGGGACACCAGCACCCTATGGTGATCTGTAGACTCTGAAGGGCTACTCCCTGCTGGAGGCTGGAAATTGGCGGGGCTTGATATTGTAGCACCATGTTTACAATTAAGGTTCTTGAACACAATCGCTTATGTCTGTTCTGTACATTACTCAATGCCCAAAAATAAAAACACTAAAAGGAGGGAATAAATAACACAGCCGTGTAATATGGCGTCTCGTGCAGAATCCAAATTATAATCCTTCTTTTCCCGCAGGTGTTATGCATTTCCTGTGTTTGATGAACTTTGAATTGAATGAATAGTATTTTTTGGGCAAATAAAGTGAAGATCAGATTGCTTGAAAGAAAGTCCACTTCAGGCTGCGGTGCTCCTCTGCTCATTTGTAAGCTGTAGTCAGTCTATTTAAAACTGTGTTGAGAAAGGCATCTCATGAATGAGTTTCTGTATTAGAGCACATCCATGACGCGAGGCCAAGGACAGGCGGAACAATGGGTCATTAAGTGATGACCATGGATCTCTATGAAACTGAGCAATCCCTGTCTTTCACAAAGAAGTGATGCGTTCAGATGTCATTTTAACAGTCCTGTACACCAACCAGAGAGAAACCATAGAGCGAGACCCAAGAGAGACCAGAGATGACCAGAGATAACTTGAAGTGACCAGACAGACAAGAAATGAAAACTATCAGGAACGTGTTCATTTTTGTAACATTACCGCAATAATAAAGATCACCCAACTTTGTGTTTTTGAGGCACGCCAGTAATTTCCCACTTCATAGTAATATCAGGAACCCCCCCCTGTTAAAATCTACAGGACACAGAGTGATAAGGGATCTGCTTCTGAGAAGAAAAGGCAGATCCAAGAGGCTCAGAACAATGAGTTTGAAATGTCCATTTTTCCCAGACATTTGCATATTTGCAGCACACTTTTATTGTCAGAGCCTCTTCCCCTTCATCATATATTCATAAATTACAGAAAACACCACAAGTTGTGTCTGACTCTGTTGAAACATGGGTCAGTTTTAATTCAGAAACATTACAAAGCAATCTGTAGAAACACAGACAGAAGACTAACAATCAAATCATCACGCCTGCTCCAGCTATGGATAAACCTGTAAAGAAGATGAAATGGATGGGGTTTGGAAATCATGAACAAAGAAATGCTTTTAAACGGACAATGATGCGTGTTAGTTATTCCATACTGATCATATTAATCAAAAAATTTGTAAACTGCTCTATACAAATAAACTTGGCTAAATTCCATCGAGACACCTCAGAAAAGGTTAAACCGAACGAGCATCAACATTGTAAAATATCAGTAAAGAAAGACAAAAAAAAACCCCACTTTTCATTTTTGTGTGAAAGTTACCTATGTTGCACTCTCAATTGCTAAAAAACTAAAAGGGTTAGAAACGTACTTATTTTTTTTTTTTTTTATGAAATCCAAGGGATAGAGCTTTCATTTGGTATGTTTCATACCTGTGTCAACCAAGGGCTCACATTTCTATACGGTTCGGAAAAACACTAAAAATGTCCAAAATCTCTGGCAGTATGAGGGATGCTGCTTTTTAAAATGGCTGGCAGTGAAGTTAATTCCTGAAACTATAGTTATAGTTAACCCTAACCCTAGTTAATTTAGCTAAAGAATCCGGACATTAACCAGATCCTAACCAACTTAATTTGTAGTGGAGAGAATGAAGCATCACACAAGCCTGTGGAGATGGCACCCTTCAGTCCGAAGGCACCGCAATCTGCACATCACACCGGACCAAGCTCTGGACCTGCGGCCTCACGTACCTGCACGGGCCACAGGAGCACTGAGGGCCTTTCGGAGGGTGAGCAGCTGGGGGTCCGTGGGGAGGAAGAAGAGCGAGGTGTTTACCTTTTGGATTGAGGCAGACGTTTACTCTCTCTGTGCACGGCGTCCAGGGTCTCGATGTGCATCTGAACTATGTCTGAAGAAAAACATGATTGAAGAGAGAGCAAGGGACTGTCAGACTACTGCTGATTGTTCAAAGCATGTCTTTTCTATACACAAACATTATTTAAAAAACTAAAGTAAATGTACAAGGAACAACATTAGCAGTGTAGAAGAGGTTGTACCTGGAATCATTGGTGTGAAGGGCCTTGAGGTGCTCGTTGGTCACTCCGCTCTCATTACAGACTTTGTCCACAAACCGGTTTATGAATCTCACTACAGAGTTGGCCACGTCTGAGCTCTCCGCGTCCTCAAAGCCACTCTCTGTATCAAAGCTCTCCGCCATGCTGCCTGCAATACTGAGGACAGATAATACATGAACATATATGAGCTCAACTAGTCATTCAAATATGTTTTTTTTCTGTGGTATAGTGTAAACTATGCTTTATTCTAAAAGCAGGTAATACTGTTTGAAGTGAGCATGAGCTGCACATAGGACTTAAGAGCTGTAATTGGTCCTGAAAAGTTAAGTCTGGTCCCGAACCAAGCAAGCCTGGTCGTACCACACCATAGTACAAATTACATTTTGTACTAAGGTCTGGAGGCGCTCCATTGAGCTCCATAAACAGATAGGAGGGGGTTAACTCCTTTTGCAGATTGAAACAATTGGATCTGAGTTTACCCGTGTCGTGTGTAAACTCAGTCACCGAGTCTGTTGTTAGCATTTAGCATTTAGCCTAGCCATCTCCTTTGCCGCTAACGGAGCCCGTGGGGAGTAGCGCCACAATTTTTCCAGCGATTACATTTGCTAAACATTCCTATTGCTCCAGCTTCAATTTCTTGATAGAACCAGACCGGATTACTTTACTCGCATTTTTGCCATTGGCAAACTACAACCTTCCCGTTCAACGCAAACTCTTGACGTCGCCTACAACTAACTAGAACACCTGCCTTTCCGCGCTCTCTGAATGGTACGGTCGAGCTTCAACCGATTGTAATCGTTAACTTGGGAACCAGACCCAGACGTTACATGCAGTGAAATGATGATTGAGTATAGTGCGTGCATTGCAGTGATGTCCTGTGTCTCTTTATCTGTGGGTGGTACTGGGTGTTCCACACACAGCCGAACGTGCTGCGCAGCATCTTAATGTGAAATGTAAAGTGAATACTGTACTTTTTTTCCTGCACTTTGAGCACTGCGGCTAATACTACGTTGGGCTTTTAAATTTTTACCAAGTAACGGTGGACAATATAATTGATGAGCTAGTTCACAGAGATCCAATTGTCAGTCCTTTGTACTCACCCTCGTCAACATGGAAAATAGTATACTATTTTCTATAGAAGAAAAGAAAAGAAAGAAGAAAAGAATACGATGTGGCATTTAAGTTAACAGCAATCACTATGGAGGCTGCAGAAGGAAATTGAGCTGCCTCATCTTGGCATAACTTAATCAATGGTTAAGAAGGTAGAGATGCCAGCGTGGAAAATGCAAAGTCTAACGAACCTCAGGGTTCGAGTTAAGTTTCTGTTTCTCTTCCCGTTTACGTTCGGCTACTGTGCGCATGGATCTGGACTGTGCACCAACCAGCTCTGGCATGAATTGCGTTCTTTACAATCAGAGAGAGTCAATGTGTACAAGTGTGAGATGTGTCTTTCTCCAATGTGCAGCAAGCAGACATGGGAGCACGCCTTAGAGTAAACGGCGTAAACCTGAGAGATGAATGAATGAGAATGAAATAATGAAGAGTGTGGCGTACGAGCAGAGCCACCGGAGCCAGGCAGGATACAATTGTATGTTGGCGCTGCGACAATAAATCGGTAGAGTTGGGTATCGGTTTGGTCTTTTGTTTAAAATAAGACAATGTTTCAGGGGGGGTGAAAACGCAAGCATTGAGAACCAGCCTACAGCGTGGAACAGAACAGAATACGCTGCTCAGCAGGGGGGATGTTTCACAACCGGGGGAGGAAAAGGTATGAATTCTCTGCCTGCTATGACCTCCACTTCCCTGCATGTACATTTAGACATGTGCAGTAGCCAAAGAACAAACGTAAACAACAATGGTGTCGTGTACACTACTGAGGAGGATTCTACTCCTTCATCCGCCCCAAACGAAACCATGCGAAGCTCTAGTTTTCAGTTTCCATTTTCGCAGCTGCTGTTAAATGCAGAATGATGTTGGTGCATTCTTTCACTTTCCGGTGGCCTGAGGAGGATGTTGTTGAGGAAGTGAAACAACTGCTGGGGAAATTTTAGCAAATTGTCTTGCAGTATCTCTGCAGCGTCTGCGTCTAAACAGGGCCAAAGTATCTGCAGCCCCCTGGACATCAGTTTGAACAGGGCATTTAAGTTGGCACTGAGAGTGGCAGGGTCAGGGTAGGAAAGAAATTCTTTACCAACACAGGGAGCATACGAAGCATCTTAATCTCATGTCTGCCAGTAGATCATAAATACAGAGCCGTATCAAAACATCAACCAACAACGGGTTACGAAAAGGACTGGACAATAAACAGCAGGTCCAATGACAGGATTAGAAATTTTTCAATATTACAAATGGACGTAGTTTTGGCTTTAGTACTTTTTAAAAATTAGAGCCTGCAGCATATAATTAGGTATGGAATGTAATTTTTACTTAGTACAATTGTTGTTTTCTATTACACACGAGTTGCCTTTTGGGTGTGAAATGTCTGTCAGTTGATTGTGTCCAGTCTAAATAAATGTATAGACAGACCTGTTTGTGACGTAGCTGTTGCTCACACTCTCCACATCCCCCAGCCCGGAGCTCCGTAGAAGCCGGTTCTTGCTGGTGTCCAAGGGCAGCAGTAGGTAGCTCATGCGGTTGGCATAGTGGATGGCCTGGCTGAACACGGTGCTCTCCTCCTTCTGCATGCCGCTCACACTGTAGTTCCTTGTTGAGCGTGGGCCACAAGCGGCTCTGTTCTGAGGCCAGCTCCAGAGCACTGAGCTCCCGCCGACTGTCCTCCTCCTCCTACGGCCAAAAAACACACAAAACCACATGTTGCTGTCATTTTCCCTGAATCACTGTGTCCCAGAGCCTCATGCTGCTAATGTACAGATGCGAACATCTAACTACACATTGCTTGCACTAGAATACACAGTACTTCATACTTGCCTCTTATTTTGCCAAATGTAAAACTTTTACACTTTTTATTATTATTTTCAGCATAGAGATGTTTATACTTGTTCTTTGATGCTAGAGTTTGAGATTTTGTTTTATACTTTAATTAGTATAGCTAGCTTGTTCACTTATCTTGTGCTGTGTGCTCCTCTTTCCTACTGTTCTATAACTTGTGATGCAACACTGAAATTTCCCCACTGTGGGACAAATAAAGGATCTCCTAATAAAGCCAGCTGGAAGGCCAACTTATTGTAGAAGAGTGGACTAGAGCGTTTGCAAAATGTGGGAGAAGCTGGATTAGAAAAAATAATGCATATGGACTAAGGGTGGGAAGCTAAGGGTACCTCAGGATACGATACAATACAAAGTTCACAATAACGAAATTATTCACGATAACGAAATTATCACGATAACGAAATTATCACGATAACGAAATTATCACGATAACGATATCACGATAACGATATCACGATAACGATATCACGATTATGACAATCGATATATTGGTCAGAAATATACAATATGCCAATTTATGGCATAAATAAAAGAAAAAATACACTTTATTTCATAATAAAATGGAATGGAGATGCGTAATGTAGCCATATATTAATTATTAATACCAATTTTTAAAAAAAATTGTAAAAAAAAATAAAAATTATATTGATACTTGGCAAATGCATATCGATAATCAAATCGCGGGAGAAAATATCGCGATATAACGAAAAATCAATATATCGTCACACCCCTAATATGGGACATTTATTATGACGGAGTGACCTGTGCCCTAGCAGGACCAGATGCAAACAGATAAGCGTAAAACCTTTATTGGTCCTTCAGTTGTGTACATTATAGCAGAATAAAAGGAGAAAATAACGACAGCAGACATCAGTGGGAGTCTTACGGTGGGCTCGAACCCACATGTTAGCAAATTGGCTATAACTCCTCTTGCTGTAACTGAAGCCCAAACGATACAACAGTGAGGAAGAGAAGAGGGAACTAAAGCGAAAAAATGATCAAAGAAGAAATCAAGCCCGGGTGTGAACATAGCTAGCTTACATTGTATCCTCTGGAGAGACCTGCAGGAGCGGGACCGCCTCGGACTATCTATGCTCGGACTACATTCGGACACAAAACTAGCGGTAATCTTTCTGTAATATATTTTGTTACCAGTGCGTTGCTTTTGTACCATTTCACTCACGCTAATGTTTGCAAATGTATCAGATCATAAATAAAACTAGATGGCTCTGTGGAATGAGAGCGTAGGGGAAATGAGAGACCTGTGAGCGAGTTGAGGGGCGGTGCTAAACAAACCTTGCAGAAACGGGTATAGCTCCTTTAAAGCTGCTGGTAAACTACAAAGCCAGAAATGTCTATTCAGTGTTCCAAAGTGCCAAAGCAAATGCAACTTCTCATTTGGAAAGCAGGGTCCCAGAGTCTGGAGGAGGAATGGAAGAGCACACAATGCTTGAGATCCAGAATGAAGTTTTTCCAATGTGGTTTTTACTGCAAATGGCAAATAAATGAATCTGAATCTGATCTGAATCTGAAGTTTCTATCTATAGTGTCTATGATGATTTGGGAGGTTATGACTTCTGCTGGTGTTGGTCCAATGAGTTGACAGACACACTTGGTGATTTGGGGAATCACCAAAAGAAAGACGAGACTAAAGAGCACCTCAGTGGAGACCGGTTGGAAAACCATCACATGTTGAACATTTATAGCAACGAAGGACTTATTGTTGGCAGCGTTACACAGTATTTCGGTCAATCAGGTGCAGCGTTTCCCGTGTAGCCGTTTCCACAGGGCTCACTCGTTTTACTTTAAAAAGAGCAAACACTACCACGGGACTCCATGTAAAGGAATAAACAAAAAACATGTAGATTTGCTGAGTTGTCTCTGAAATAAAGTAACAACGGTAAGAAAACCGTATGAATCCTTACTTCTTAGCTGCAAAAAGTTACGTGCTCTTTCGGCTCCACTCGCTCTGTAAACAAAGCAAAACCTCTCTCTTTCTATCTCTCTCTTAAAGTGACGGTAACTTAAATTATTCTAAGTTAACAAAATTATTAGTTCTAAAGGGTCGGGGTGGTGGCAATCAGCTACCACCCAATTCACAGAGCGCTGATCCCCCTGCTCCTCACTGCTCCTCACTGATCCTCCAGCAGGTGAAGGGTCCACAGAAGGCATCTCTGTCGCTCAGAGGACAGCCTTGATCTTTCAGCGGGGGCTTAGGTCAACTTTTAATCAAACAAATAACGCTAGATAAGATATTACCAGTTTATAAAAAATATACAAATTGTTAACACTCTACAGTTTGTGCTACATGCAAAATAGAAAACTAACTAAACTTAGCTTGGCTCATTTGCAGTTAAGATGTATCTAAATCCACATCGAAGCAAAGTATAACTTTAACTGTCAGAACGTTAAACTAATATAAATATGTCCATAGTAACGGAGAGACATAACGAAAAGATTTCAACGTCAGTAAAGAGAAAACAGAGTTCATCATGCGCAGACCAACTGACAGAGCACACAACTCGTCAGAACACCGATGTGTCATGTGCATTTTTCACCATTGAATTTTTTCTCATTCAATTTAGACTGTTGAATTTAACATTATGAAATTGATAATCAGTGACTGAAATTCACAGACGAAAATATTCAAGATGTTAAAAACATTCAAATAGATGAATTCAGGGCCATTTAAAATGTGTCTTTTTTATTGAATATTTTGAAGGTGAATATGTCATTTTGAAATTTTATTCACATTGAAATTTGTAAACTGAATTTTTAGTGACTGAAATGTAGAGATAAAAGTATTCAAACATGCTTTTTTCAGGGTAAAAAATGTCTATCTGATGACACAAAAAATCTTCCATAGTACTCAATACATATGCATGATTATAGTTCTTAGAGGATCTGTTTAACATAATTCTAAATTTGATTTAATGAAATATTCTAATCTTGTGAAACTAGTTAATTAATAAGGGATTTTTACAAGCTGTAAGCCATAATAATCACGATCAAACATAGCTTGATTAATATATACCCTTTTTCACGATTTCACTCATTTTTTGGGTTTCACCTTTACAGTCTATGTGTCGTACAGAGTTTTTTGCACAAGCTCCTGCTCACTAATGCTTAAAAGATTAGAGGAGTAGACCCAAATGAATACTTCCATGTTAAACATAATGCATATTCTTAACACCCTGGCCCTTCAATATAATGCAAAGTGCATAACTTTTACAAATAATGTATCTAATGTAGTCCCGACAACGGAGAGATAAAACCAATGGGATTTTGTACATTCAGGAAGGAGGGGGGGGTTAGTTCAAGGTCTAACGATAATGACTTGATTTTTTCAGCTGATCCAACAACAGCAACAGGTTTGCTTCTCACATCATAGCTGTGCTGTTCCTCGGCTGTCTCCAGGTAAAGTGCTCGGATGTGGCTTTGGACATCGCTGTAGAACATGGCCTCCCAGAACTGCATGTTTGTCCACACTGAGTGCTCCTGGACACAGCTGTAGGCAAATTGAGTGATGCCCGCGCCCAGTTTCTGCACAGAAGGGAAACGCGTCACGTATTCCATTACAACAACACATTTAGAGCAGTGAAGGTGTCGGTGACTCACTCTGCAGAAAGCTGTGACCAATGGTAGCAGTGCAGCAGCGATGCCATGTTCGTCCATGTGTGAGCAGTCCTGGGGAGAGGAGAAGTAATTTAAGCAGAACTCAATAGTGAAGGCAGTACGGAGCAATCTATTAAAGAAGCTATACCCGATTTTCTTTTTAATGAGTTCATAAAAATGCTTATTACTACATACAAGTTGTATTAAAATCCATAATTTAATCGAAAACTTGAGCTCATTGATTCAGCTTGTGTATGAATTCAGGCCGTAAAAAGTGCTGAGTAGAGACTTAGCATGACGCCTGCTCTCCAATCACAGAACGAGGAACAAGCAGGCTTTTACAGCGCTGCTAAACACAATAGCATGTTAGCAGAATTCGCTATAACTCCTCTTTCTGTAACTGCATACACAGCAAAACAGCCCAAACAACACAATAGTGAGGAAAAGATTTCATCGTTGATGAAACGATGAAATCAAGCCCGGGTGAACGTAGCTCGCTTACATTTTTATCCTCCCTTAGACTTACAGTCTAAGGGAGAGACACCTTGGCTCCTTCCTATCTCCAAGACACGTTAGTGTCATATCAACCAAGTCGAGCGTTGCGCTCACAAAACGCCAGACGTCTGGTGGTTCCTAAGGTCTCAAAAATCACTGTTGGCGGCAGAGCATTTAGCTACCAAGCTCATTTACTGTGGAATCAGCTTCCCATTTAGGTTAAGGAAGCAGATACGGTCTCCACATTCAAGGCCAGGCTTAAAGCACTCTACTTTAATTTAGCATATAATTAGGTTATATATAATTTATGGTGTATTTATTATATATATATATGCTGTATTATGTTATATATTATGTTGTATATCAGGGGTCACCAACGCGGTGCCCGCGGGCACCAGGTCGCCCGCAAGGACCAGATGAGTCGCCCGCTGGCCTGTTCTAAAAATAGCTCAAATGGCAGCACTTACCAGTGCTATTCTTGTTTAAATCATACTTACATGCAACTTACAAATGGCATATAAACTAGAGCCGGGACTTTAACAAGTTAATAAAGATTAATTAATTACACACAAAAAAGCGCGTTAAAAAAATTACGCATTTTAATCGTATGTATTTTTGCACCGCGGAACGTTCCTCACTGAATAAGTTTCAGACGGACCAATTGAACTGGCGCACCAACCGGAGCTCCGTGACTTTTCTTGTTCAAAAGTACATTATTACAAGCAGAGACCAACTTTATATTCAAGTAAATTAGACGGGAATGAGCGCTGTGTATGGAGCGATGGACTCTGTGTGTGAGGAGGAGGAGGAGAAGGAGGAGCGAGACACAGGTGTGTGAGCTGCTAATGCTGATGTTCACTCCGAATGCACACATCAAAAACGTATTATAAAAGCTTTAGCAAACAGCGCATGCCCAGCTTTAGTGCTCACAGCGTGTGCAGTGGATTTTGGGCTTAAAAAGAGTATGTTGTCGTCAGTGTGAGGAGGAGGAGGAGCATATGTTGTCGTCAGAGTGTGGAGGCAATGACAGAAACGTTATTTGATGTTTAGAAGTTATCCCTTAAACTCCATATTAACATGTGTTGATTAAGCTTCATGTATTCAGTCATTATTCAATGGTAAACTAAAAATCCATGTGAAAAAATTACTTCTCACTGTTCTCAAGTCAAATATTTATATGCGATTAAAATGTGATTAATTGCGATTAAATGGGACTGTCTTAGAAGTGATCATTTGTTAAATTTGAAAAATGTGCACTTAGAGAAAATATAAAAGTTTTTCCACAAAATAAATATCATTAATTATTAGTAAAAACATAGAATTAAAGGTAAATTGAGCAAATTGGCCATATCTGGCAATTTATTTAAGTGTGTAACAAACTGGTAGCCCTTCGCATTAATCAGTACCCAAGAAGTAGCTCTTGGTTTCAAAAAGGTTGGTGACCCCTGTTGTATATTATACAATATACAGTGCCTTGCGAAAGTATTCTGCCCCCTTGAACCTTTCAACATTTCGCCACATTTCAGGCTTCAAACATAAAGATATAACATTTAAATTTTTTGTCATGAATCAACATCAAGTGGGACACAATCGTGAAGTGGAACAAAATTTATTGGATAATTTAAACTTTTTTAACAAATAAAAAACTGAATAGTGGGGCGTGCAATATTATTCGGCCCCTTTACTTTCAGTGCAGCAAACTCACTCCAGAAGTTCAGTGAGGATCTTTGAATGATCCAATGTTGTCCTAAATGACTGATGATGATAAATAGAATGCACCTGTGTATAATCAAGTCTCCGTATAAATGCACCTGCTCTTTGATAGTCTCAGGGTTCTGTTTAAAGCGCAGAGAGAACCATGAAGACAAAGGAACACACCAGGCAGGTCCGAGATACTGTTGTGGAGAAGTTTAAAGCCGGATTTGGATACAAAAAGATTTCCCAAGCTTTAAACATCTCAAGGAGCAATGTGCAAGCAATTATATTGAAATGGAAGGAGTATCAGACCACTGCAAACCTACCATGACCCGGCCGTCCCTCCAAACTTTCATCTCAAACAAGGAGAAGACTGATCAGAGATGCAGCCAAGAGGCCCATGATCACTCTGGATGAACTGCAGATAACTACAGCTGAGGTGGGGATGGTGTGTTCAGGGTGATGAGCTGTGTTGCTTTTACGCCAAACATATCGTTTTGCATTGTGGCCAAAAAGTTCGATTTTGGTTTCATCTGACCAGAGCACCTTCTTCCACATGTTTGGTGTGTCTCCCAGGTGGCTTGTGGCAAACTTTAAAAGAGACTTTTTATGGATATCTTTGAGAAATGGCTTTCTTCTTGCCACTCTTCCATAAAGGCCAGAGTTGTGCAGTGCACAACTGATTGTTGTCCTATGGACAGACTCTCCCACCTCAGCTGTAGTTATCTGCAGTTCATCCAGAGTGATCATGGGCCTCTTGGCTGCATCTCTGATCAGTCTTCTCCTTGTTTGAGATGAAAGTTTGGAGGGACGGCCGGGTCTTGGTAGATTTGCAGTGGTCTGATACGCCTTCCATTTCAATATAATTGCTTGCACAGTGCTCCTTGAGATGTTTAAAGCTTGGGAAATCTTTTTGTATCCAAATCCGGCTTTAAACTTCTCCACAACAGTATCTCGGACCTGCCTGGTGTGTTCCTTTGTCTTCATGGTTCTCTCTGGGCTTTAAACAGAACCCTGAGACAATCAAAGAGCAGGTGCATTTATACGGAGACTTGATTACACACAGGTGCATTCTATTTATCATCATCAGTCATTTAGGACAACATTGGATCATTCAAAGATCCTCACTGAACTTCTGGAGTGAGTTTGCTGCACTGAAAGTAAAGGGGCCGAATAATATTGCACGCGCCCCTTTTCAGTTTTTTATTTGTTAAAAAAGTTTAAATTATCCAATAAATTTCGTTCCACTTCACGATTGTGTTGTTGTTGATTCATGACAAAAAATTAAAATGTTATATCTTTATGTTTGAAGCCTGAAATGTGGCGAAATGTTGAAAGGTTCAAGGGGGCCGAAATTTTTTACTGTATGTATTATGTTGTGTATTGTGTTATGTTGTATATTATGTTATATATTATGCTGTATGTTATGTATTGTATATAATATATATAATATGTATGGTACATGTGATATATATGATATATAATTAGGTTTGCCTGGATCGGTTTGCACACCTGGTGTGCAATCCATGAATCTTGGTGCTGTAGCCTGGGCTAGCCTAGCCGTGGCTGCTGCTGTTGTCTCACCTCCTTTCAGATACGCTCTCTTTATTCAAGGCTAGGTTTAAAACAGTCCTCTTTAGTTTAGCATATGGCTAGGAAGGTAAGGCCCCGTCCCAATTCTCGCCCTTGCCCTTAAAAAGCACACTTGCCCTAGCGTTTGCGCGTGCCCGCGCGAGTGCAAGGGTGTCCCAATACTTAGGGAGACGAGGCGAGGGTCTTCACTGCCCTAAAAACCACCCTTGAGCGCAAGTGAGGTCGGGAGCTCACTTGCGAGCGAGGGTGATCCCATGATGCATTGCGAACTCGGCAAACCAGTTTTTCCAAATGAACATGGCGCCGACTCTCGGGAGCGAAAGCTACAAATGTAAGTACAATTTCACACAAACATGCACTCTAAAAGCTATGAAACGTGTCAGAATTATGTGGGTACGCAATTTGTTGTACAATGTAGAATGCCGGTGTTGGCTCGCTGTTTCGTACGTGTGCATGTGCATGGCATGGTGTGCATTGAATTCATAAACATAGGTAAGCGTTTGTCTTCACCATTAACGTTGGTTGTGTGTTTGCAAATCTGCGCAAACAGCTTGCAGTAGTAGTGGAACTGAGCAATTGACCAACGCTGTTTTTCCCCCAGGGACCACGGAGAAAACCTTTGCTCTCATAAATTACAGAGCTGCGAATGAAGCCAATTTTCTGAAAACAAAATTTCAGACAACAAGTCTGTGGCAGTAAGTGAAACTTCTATTCTTAATAATAATGCTATTGAACACAGCTAAATGCCTATACCTCACTGTATGTTCACAGGCAAGCAGTGAAAGAGCTGGGCCTGGAGGGGAAAGTGACCCACAAGCAGGTCAGTAAGAAGTGGGAGAACCTGAAGAAGCGCTACAAGGTAATTATCTGCAAATATATCTGTCTGGTTAATCCTGTAACCTCAACTCACTTTGCTGTGTGTGTGTGTAGGGACCTAAGGGACCCAAAGACTGGCTCAGGCACAGATAGTGGGGAGAAGACCGCTTCAAACTGGCCGTATTACGCTGCGCTTCACGCAGTCTTGGGGGGAAGGCCTGCTGTGGATCCCCCTGTTGTTGTGGCGTCTTTCAGGCCACCTGAAGACCCTACAGCTTTGCTAATGGTAAGAAACAAGGGAATATTTTTATAGGGGCGGTGTACAATAAACATTAACCCAAAGGAAAGATGCATTGAACCACTAGTCCCTGAGCAGGTTGTTGTCAAACAGTAAAATGTAAGTAATTGGAGGAATTATCAGACCAAAATTTCTATTTCATTTACCACAAGTTAAATAAAAAACACTGGCCAGCCCCATTATTCACTTATTATAAAGACATTTCTGCACTGAATTCACACAGACACGTCACACATGGAAACAGAGTTGCCTTTCCAATAGACATGTTTTTGTACTGCATGTGAATACTTTTAGTTCAGTGCAGGTGATGATCTCAGTTGGGAGTGAGTCCAGAACATTTTGGGACGCTGCACTCTCCACGTGCTGTAGACCGAGTGGCATGTGTACTTTGTGATGTGTACACACTGCTATGTCAGTGCTTGTAGCCGTGCAGTTAATAACTTTATTTGCCATGACGTGACAATAATTTGTCTCCAACAGGCCATTGTCAATCCTGACGAGACCCCCAGTGAGGATACTCAGTTGGGCTCTGCCTCCTCTGCACCATCGACCCGGTCTGCTTCTCCAGCTCCATCCTCAAACAATCCTCCCTCTTCACCAACCCCGTCCTCTTCATCCTCTCGCCATAACACCCCTACCCCCAGAAAAAGGGAGGACAGATAGCCAGAGGATTTTGGACTTTCTCCAAGCAGAGTCGGACAAGGAACAGAGAAGACACGAGGAGTCAGAGGAGAAGACTTTGCGCTTTTTAAGTCTCTTTGAGAGGATGGCGGAAAAGCTGTAGCCTGCTGCTGTGTGGCTGTTTGGGCAAACATGTCTGTTCATATTGTACATATGACATTTTATTAGAGTGTTTTTCAAAAAATAAATCTCAGTTAATGTGACTGTGTGTGTGTTGATGTTCACTGTTCTAGGAAGAAATACTGAAACTTAAAGTTAGGATCTTGGGAAAGGATATAAAGAAAAGGTCATCCATTGTTCGTTAAATAATTTTATTGAAAGAATTTACTTTACATTTAAGGGTCTTCATTGAACAATACAGCGAGCCTGTCCCTTATTGCAGTCCCTGCCCTTTCATATTTCTCAGCAGCTTCATGGAGAGGAAGTTCCGGGTCCAGGATGTCTGTTGCATCACTATCAGGTTCCAGGACGTCTCCGTTGTCTAGACATACATTGTGCAGAAAGGCACACGATGCTATAACCTGTGGTGCAAATGTAGGCTTGACCTCCAGGGCTCTGAACAGGGTTGACCTCCAGCGAGTCTTCATAATCCCAAATGCTCTCTCCACAATAGAACGGGCTCTTGACAGATGGTAGTTGAATTTCCTTTGGGCCCGGCCGTTCACTGGCTCTCGGTATGGAGTAATAAGGGCGATTGGTCCCTCCAAACAAGAATACCCACCATCTCCCAGAATGAAGTACCCCGTAGGTGGGTACCTTCTTGCAAGGTAAAACGAGCTGTTCTTCAGAATGCGCGTGTCATGCACAGAACCTGGATAGCCCACAAAAATGTCTAGGAATTTTACTGTGTGATCACAAATAGCTTGCATTTGTATTGAGTAGAAACCCTTGTAATTTAGATAGTCCAGACGATGGAGTGATGGGGGCTTTATGCGAACATGACAACCATCAATGGCTCCAACAGCTTTGTTTAGTAGAGGTGTTCCAGCAAGCTCGGCAAAGCCGTTACTCACTGCATCAATGTCAGCCATCTTTGGAAAACTGATTGCTCGGTGTAGATTGTTCCAAATGAACTGTGCTACCCTATGGACAACCCTGTGGACAGTAGACCTAGGAATACTGAACACTCTGGACACAACACGGTAGGATAGTCCATGGGCAAGCCAGTATACATATATGAGGACCTCATATTCATTGCCCCAACCATGATCTTGCGCTCTCCTCATTACACGTTGCAGCGAATGCATGGCCTGCCTGGACAGTCTGAAGTCAGGTTTTGTGTCCAATTCGACGTCCAACCACAAGCGTAGAATAGGCACAACCACATTGACTTTACAGTACGTTGCTGGACGGTCACTCTGAAAAACAAAGAGCTAAAAAATATATAGCATGAGTGAGTGGCCTAAGAGCACAAATTCCCCTCATGAAAGCAGTGATGTGACATTAACAATACAAACTATACATGCAAAGGCATTACAGTACTTCATATAATATTTTCCGCAATATAAATAGTTCTCAATATACTACTGTGACTCAAGATTTCAGCGAAAGGAAAGTAGAACCAGTGTAGCCAATGCTGCACCGCTTTGTTTTTGCGTTTGTGATACACGTGTTTAGTACATACTTAAAACAGCGATGAATACTTCATGGTTAGACGTTTGGACATATGGATGTAACTTTTGATCTTTGTATCGTTTGTAGGTCGTCTTGTTTTAGACACAGTTTTGGTACGATAGTTAGTAATGTTGCAGCCATAGACTGTATATATATGCAGTCGGGCAAAGCCGCGCCATTATGAAAGAAAACAACATACCTGAAACATCCGGGCAAGCGCAACCATACGTCGAAGTCTCATCCTACGTCTGTTGCTTCTCCGTGTACTTTGCGAACGGAGAAAAAGCATCATAGCCCACAAAACAGGCAGAAGCTCCGCTGGACCCGGCATTTTCAAAAGTAACAACAACAGCAGTACTTTCTCCGGTCTTACCTACCCTATGAAGAAATATGTATTACCGCCACCTATTGGACTGGGGTGAAATCCGAAAAACGGACATTGCGTGTGACGTAGTGGACGCTCATTTGCATACAAGGGTGTCCCAATACTTAGGGAGAGTTGAGTGCACCCTCCACTTGCACTCGCACTTGCACTCACACTTGCACTCGCACTTAAGGGCAAGGGGGAGAATTGGGACGGGGCCTAAGACTCAGGGAAGGCTAAACTCCTCAGACTGTCAGTCAAGCTGCATAGGGAGTCAGTTTGCTGGGAGAAGTATGGTAACTTGAGCACTATCCTCTCCTCCTTCCTACTTTATCTGTTTAGCATTATTAGGATTTTGACTGTAGTTTGTTCATTGCTATTCACCCGTTGTCCCATTGTCTGTTTCATGGTACGATGACGGGATCTCTGAGCCTGGCCTCCTCCATCTACACCTACGGACTGCCCCGCCCGACCCGCCTGGGAGTGCTTCAGTCCTGCACCGGACCTGTCCACGTTCAGCGGCCACTGGTCTATGTCCTGTAGCTAGCTTAGGTCCTAGATCATTAGCCTGTCCGTCCGGAGGAGCGGACCCCTTTCTCAAATGGGTCTCCCTCCCTGTGGGTTTCCCTAGTTCTCCCCAAGGTTTCTCACTTTTTCCCACTGGGTTTTTTAAGAGTTTTTCCTTGTCGATGCAGGAGGGTCTTGTTGGACAGTTAGTGTCCAACAGAAAGGATTGGTGATGATCAGGACACTTTAGCATTCTACAACATGTATGGACATTTTCTTCTGTGTGTGCTTTATATTTTTCATGTGTTTTAACTGTTGATTCTCTGATCTGTGTTGGTGATTTCAATGGTTTTGTTAAGTCCTCTGAGATGACTTCTCTTGTAACCTAGGGCTATATAACAATAAATTGTATTGTATTGTATTGTATTGTATGTGCATACTGAAGAAGATTGCTTTGGTTGTCTGAAATCGCACTATCACCAGAAAAGCAAGCGTAAAGTGTATAAAAATTACATATTCATCGGCCCTTTGCAGTTTCGGCTTTTGGAAATTACTGAGATTTTTCAATATTATGAATAACTTAAGAAAAAATGTCTTTCATGTGTCCTACATGAGTCCTTCTCTTGGGTGGCCCTCACCTGGAGAGTGCAGTTCATCATTCTCACAATGTAGTCAAACTGCTGGTCGTCTAGAACGGCTCTGTTCTGGAGCACGTGCTGGTTCAGCTCCTGCGTCAAGCAAACCCGAGCCGCACGGCCTTTCAGCGCCCGCAGGACAGCCGGCATTAGCTGCAAAAACACATGTTATAATGTACACCTTCAAATACCAAGAATACTACTTCTACTGCCAGCCCTACGGAAGCATTTGAAAGACAATATGTCATATTTGACAGTGGTCCCTAAATCATGGCCATTTGAACAGGGTTGCCAAGGAAACAATCCTATAGCCTACAGTTTGATAAAAGACAAGATCTCTCCATACGTCTTGGTCACTTGACACGGTAGTGCTGAAATGTAAAGTCTGCATTCTGAAGCAGCACCCGCACACTGCCCAGAGGCTCTAATGGAGTTTTACAAACATGGTGTGAAGAGAGGAGACGCGTGGAGGAATGAAACGTCTGTGGGTGCTTCAAACCAAGATGACCAGACGAGCCAGAGCCAAGACATTGCCTTGGACATGGGCATACACATGTCCCTTATAAACCAATGTATTTCAAGATGACGCATTGACTTGGAGAGTCCTCCAGCAATCATGCATAGGTCAAATTCTAATCCAATGACAACAATTCAAAAACACAGTGGAGGTAAATATTCTTAAATTTTTCATTGGGAGCAACTGTAAAAATTACACAGTACCTTAAAGAGCAGTTTAGAAGTAATGTAGATGGTACTAAGTACATAAACATCTTCCACGAAATGTACAGTATGTTCTTATGTTGTGTGGCTCATTTATCAGAAACACTCACTCCTCGTTACGGTCTACTGTAACCATGCACGCGCTCGTGGGCGCTTTCTGAGGATGTGCTGTTGAGCAGCAGTTACCTTTGTGATGTGACTGGTTCAGCCGCTGCCTGAGCGAAACGGTGCGGAGAATGACTGCTGCTACACACTGCAGGCGCAGTGAGAGATGTGCGCCTCTCCTTGGCAGAGTACAGTGCCTTGCAAAAGTATTCACCCCCCTTGGCATTTTGTGTGTTTTGTTGCCTCACAACCTGGAATTAACATGGATTGTTTGAGGATTTGCATCAGTTAATTTACAGAACATGCCCACAACTTTGAGGATGTTGTCTTTTTTTTTTTATTGTGAAGCAAACAACAAATAGGACAAAATAACAGAAAAGGTCAATGTGCATAACTATTCACCCCCCTAAAATCATTACTTTGTAGAGCCACCTTTTGCGGCAATCACAGCTCCAAGTCGCTTGGGATAAGTCTCAATGAGCTTGCCACATCTTACCACTGGGATGTTTGCCCATTCCTCCTTGCAAAACTGCTCCAGCTCCTTCAAGTTGGATGGTTTGCGCTTGTGAACAGCAAACTTTAAGTCTGACCACAGATTTTCTATTGGATTGAGGTCTGGGCTTTGACCAGGCCATTCCAACACATTTACATGTTTCCCCTTAAACCACTGAAGTGTTGCTTTAGCAGTGTGTTTGGGGTCATTGTCCTGCTGGAAGGTGAACCTCCGTCCTAGCCTCAAATCACGCACAGAGTGGTACAGGTTTTGCTCAAGAATATCCCTGTATTTAGCACCATCCAGCTTTCCCTTAACTCAAGCCTTTTCGGAAACTCAGAACGTGCCATTTTGTTTTTTGCTGAAAGTAATGGCCTTCTTCTGGCCACTCTGCCTAGAGCCCAACTCTATGGAGCGTACGGCTTATTGTCGTCTTATGTACAGATACTCCGGTCTCTGCTGTGGAACTCTGCAGCTCCTCCAGGGTTACCTTAGGTCTCTGTGCTGCCTCTCTGATTAATGCCTTCCTTGCCCGGTCTGTGAGTTTTGGTGGGCGGCCGTCTCTTGGCAGGTTTGCTGTTGTGCCATGTTCTTTCCATTTGGTTATGATAGATTTGATGGTGCACGTGGGGATCATCAAAGATTTGGATATTTTTGTATAACCTAACCCTGACTTGTACTTCTCAACAACACTGTCCCTTACTTGTTTGGAGAGTTCCTTGTCTTCATGGCAGTGTTTGGTTAGTGGTGCCTCTTGCTTAGGTGTTGCAGCCTCTGAGGCCTTTCAAAAAAGGTGTGTGTATGTACCAACAGATCATGTGACACTTAGATTGCACACAGGTGGACATCATTTCACTATTTATGTGACTTCTGAAGGTAATTGGTTGCACCAGACCGTTTTATGGGCTTCATAACAAAGGGGGTGAATACATATGCACATGCCAATTTCCAGTTTTTTATTTATGAAAAATGATTATGAATATATTTTTCTCAATTCACTTCACCAACTTAGACTATCGTTTTCTGATCCATCACATGAAATTCAAATAAAAAAAACAGGGTGTAACGTAACAAAATAGGTAAAAAGCTAAAAGGGGGTGAATACTTTTGCAAGGCACTGTAGGCTCGCATCACACAGATAATAATAATGCATTGGTTTTATATAGTGCTTTTTTGGACACTCAAAGATGCTTTACATGTCATTATTCCTTCACTCCATACACGGTGGTGATAAACTACTACTGTAGCCACAGCTGCCCTGGGGCACACCGACAGAAGCGAGGCAACCAGTACGTGCCATCCGCCCCTCTAACCACCACCAACCATTCAATGTAGGGTAATTATTTATGATTTGAATGCCTAGTTGTTTCTTTCTTGTTTTGTTTAGAACTTTGAGTTGCCTTGTGTATTAACTGTCCTATACAAAGAAACTTGCCTTGGCTTGCCTTGCCTTACAGGGACAGCAAAATTTGACGGCTTTAACACATTAAACTGACTGCACTATGTTTTCTACTTTGAAAGTAATCAAAGTAGAAAACATACATACAGGGCGAAAACATGATTACTTGTTTACGGGCCAAAGTGAGCACTGAAGATGCATCGTATTTGTTGACCCTTCACCTTCTTGGCCTCCAGCATCTTGTTCTCAAAGATGTAAGTAATGCAGTTCCTGACCACCTCCAGGCGGCGAGCGCTGTTGGCCATAACATGACCGTTCCTGTCCACCGTTTCACCTGCAAAAATACAACTAATGATTTCAACAACAAAAACAACATTGAGGGCTTGATAGTACATTATATACTTTGATATACTATCTAGCTCAGCCTTCACCATGCTGCTACGTATGTGCACTTTAATCATTTTGAACTACGTATCAGGCCTGTGGTCCTGGCCAAAAAGTTGGGTCATATCACATAGAGCTGCAACTAAAGATTATTTTGTAATCGATTAATCTATCGATTATTTTTACGATTAATCGAGTAATCGCTTGGCTGTGAATTGTGTAGAAAAAAATTATTTTTTCATCACAAAAAGCTAAAGTGGCAACACTCGAGGACGTAATGATGGCGTAAACTTAAAGTAAATGTAACAGGCTCTTTGTGCTAATTCTGCTATCTGATTAGATGAGACAGATATTCATGAAATTATAAAAACAAAGTCGGTTTTAATCAAAAATACTACATTTTCATGTCATTTTTGCTCTGTTTGAGTCCGTGTAAACCAGAAAACGATTAATCGATTACTAAAATAGTTGTCGACTATTTCAATAATCGATTAGTCGTCGATTAATCGATTAGTTGTTTCAGCCCTAATATCACAGAACGGCGGCAAGACAATAATGACGCACAATTGGACAGATGGAAGCCTGTCGTTCGTTTACAGATCCAGGCAGATGGATCCTAGCCTGGCTCTCGCCAGACCCTTGTAGTTCCGCCATGCTCCACCAGAGGCGTCTGGCTGAAACACATGGGTCTGGGATTGAGGCCATAGGGTTGGAAAATCTTGCCGGTATTTGGCAACCCATGGGAGTCGTGTGCTTCGATGTGAGTGGTTGAAGGACGACGTCATTCAAGATAACAGACAAGTGGTTTAATCCAATCACATACAAGGATTTTTTTTTTAGAAGGCCCCGCCTTCTGAAATCCAACTGCTATGGAGGATGTGGCGAAGCCAGACTTTTAAACAGAGGGTAGCCAGGGGGTGCCAAGGGTCTTTTTAAGGGGTCCACATTTATACAATTCAGAAATTCTATTTCACACAAAAACTGGCTAAACAATACATTTTAATCTTAAATAATTTTTTTATATAGAGTGAACTGAGTGCACACTTGGAAACTACAAAGCAAAAAAGTGTATTTAAACAGTAGTCTGAACAAAAAAAGTGCAAAATGAGATAAAAGAAAAATGTAATGCAATGTTTGAATTAAGAAATTTAGCAAATTCCTGCGGTTCTGGTGTAAAGCAGCAAAGATGTTGACAAACTCATCCATATTGAGCCCCTTAGCCTTCCTTCACTCTACACTGAGGATACCAAGATGACTCAATCTATCATCTGCCATGGTAGTTCTGAGATGATTTTTAATGAGTTTTAGGGCAGAGAAATTTCTTTCACAAGATGTAGTACAGACAGGTATTAAAAAAAGAGATTTTTGCAAGCCTCAAAAGCTCATGAAATACTTTCCAAACGTTCCAAAAAGACAAGGAAGTCCAATAGGGACTCTCTAATAAATTTTTTCCTCCCAAGAATCCACCTAGTTTTATGTACCTCATGCTTAAGGTCCTCTATATCTGACTCAAAGGTTCTGCCAAATACAAACAGGGGCTCTTCTTTCAAAAATGTTTTGGGGTCAAGCGACTGCACTCAATCCATAATCTCAGTGTTTTTTTGTGTGGGAAAAACGCCTGTAACGCCTGTCTGTGACTCTCTCTCATTCTCTGAAACTGAAATATATAAGCTATATTTTTTTTACAACACAACACAACAAATTCCTCATCATCTCAAAACATGAGAATACAAATTTCAGCAGTGAGCAAACTGTCAATAATAATAATACGTCACTGCTCACAGACATTAACAATCGAGCCTGCCCAGAGTTGATCATGGCAGAGGGCAACAACATTAACAATTTGGCTCAAAATCAGGTATATAAACTATATTTGATCATTTTGGTCGTAAATAAATGTGTACGAAATATTAATTTGATAAAATGTGTTCATAAGATGTTTCTTGTCCCTCTCTAGAAACGTTTTTTTAGGCAGTGTTTAGTTAAGGCTAGCTTCAATGCTAGTTTTACGGCTTACCATGTTATTTTAAAACCAACATTTTTACATTCTTAGCATTTACACTTTATGAAGCCTTTGCCCTGAATCAATGTGGCTAATGTGTTGATACCAGCCCCAACCCTCCAGATGATTCATAGTTCGCGCTATTACTGCCCCTGAGTAATATGTTCACCTCCGTGCTATACTCATCCTTGGGTTATAAACGTAGCAGACCCTGTGCACCCTGTGGGCCTCAATCTTAAATTTGACACATTACTTTTACTCACTAGTTCAGTAACGCTAGTTAGTCTGTTGTTTAGACTAAAATAAATGCATTATTTTCTGTAGAATAAAACAATATAAGGATAAGAAAATAAAACAAGCATTGGAGCTAACAACACTGCCAAAAAACCTTTAGAGGGACAAGAAACATCTTATGAACACATTTATGGAATTAATATTTCTTACACATTCATTTACAACCAAAATGATAAAATATAGTTATATACCTGATTTTGAGCCACATTATTTATGTTGTGTCCCTCTGCCATGTTTAGTTTTTAGGCAATGAAGTGGATCAACTCTGCGCAGGCTCGATTGTTAATGTCTGTGAGCAGTGACGTATTATTGACAGTTTGCTCACTGCTGAAATTCGTATTCTCAAAAAGAAAATGCAAGCACAAAAAAAAAAAAAATTGCATTCACAAAAACAAAATCACAGTTTTATTTTTTTTTATTTTTAATTACAAAATTCCATGTCTTTTAGTTTGTATTATCTTAATCATGAATTAATACAATATTTTTATGCACAAATACCAATAAATATGCACGCATTTTTTTTAGACATAAAATAATATTTTAATAATTTTCCTTTATTAATTGCACATTGTATCATTGCCCTCTTCCCTTTAGTGTAAGAAAAGGAGGAGACATTTTTGTAAAGAAAAGGCCTATAGATCAGGATGATGAAACCTCACCTGAAGGTCAGACTCGGAGGCAGTATGTTTTGAGATGATGAGGAATTTGTTGTGTTGTGTTGTAAAAAAATATAGCTTATATAATTCAGTTTCAGAAAATGAGAGGGAGTCCCAGACAGGTAAAATAGTCGGGATTGTTACTTATTTATATATTAGAATCTAATACTGTATATATATATTTTTTTTTTTAGTTTGAAAATCAGGTGTGAGACAAAAGAAGAGACCAATGCTGTAACATACATTATTTATGTATGTTACAGTAAAGACCATTTAATTGTAAAAGCAATTTAAAAAAAGAAAAACATATGTATTAATTTATAATATAAAAAAACTCACAAATGTTGAAATCAAAGTCTGTAGCAGTTAGATATGGTCGTTATTTATAGTGTCTGAGAGTTTTGTGCATGTACATGGCTTCAGTAAAAGCTATTGTTCGTTTACAAAGCTGGGTTTGCCATTTGTTGAAGCACTTAGGGAGCCTAAGTGCTTTTCTCTACGCTTGCAGTGAACTGGATGATTCGATGGATTTATCTGCGTTAAAACAGCACATTGGATTTGAACAATTGATGTAAATGGTCATTTTGGCACAATTCATTTTGTTTAACAAAGTAGCTTTTGTGAGCTATTGACCACGGAAGTCCGAATCTGACGCTAACTTTACCAAACTTCTGCTGTGATGATGCTGCAGGCAGGGCCCACGCATGGATCAATTTTGGCTCACGCTGGCGCATCGAGCCTACGCCCCTTTGACACTCATTGGCCGAAAGGTAGACACTTAAAGGCGCTATACCCGTTTCTGCAAGGTTTGAATGTTTAGCACCGCCCCCCAACTTGCTCAATGGCTTCTCATTTCCCCTACGCTCTCATAACACAGAGCCATCTAGTTCAATTTGCGATCTGACATGTATGCTAACATACGCATTAGCACAACTTCTTGTAAGCTGTACAACAATCACTGATTAAATGGTACTAAAGCAACGCACTGCGAACACAATATACAGGTAAAAGAATACTGCTAGTTTCGCATCCAAATTTATTCATTAGAACATTTCAATATATTTGAATATTTAATTATAATTTATTATACAGCTACTCACAGTGGCAAAACACTCCATTGACTTGAATGTAATTCTACCGATAATTTTTTCTTGATAACAGAACTCTCAAATCAATAATGACCGCTGCCTTTTGACAATGCAATCTCTGTTTGTAATTCAGGTGTGTAAAATACTGCCATTAATTTGCAAGTACAACGAGAGAAGCTAGCGGAGCATCTATCAATCAACACCATTAAATGTTAATCGGACAATATAGTATACATATACATCCTTAACACACATGCACGGACTTTTTCAGAATTTCTTGTTATCGTTTTCATGACCAAATTACTCTTTTAATGTGACAAAAAGCGATCGCGAAAAACCCGGAAGTAACCATTGACATGTAGTTCCAGGGAACTAGCTAGCAGAGCTGCTACCTGCCTAGCACGTCCCGGTGAAACCTTTGGGAGCCAACTATTTTATTTGCAGTTATTGAATACATTTCAAATTGTAAGGGCTGTCTAATATGTGTTTGAATACAGTGCCTTGCAAAAGTATTTGGGCCTCCTTGAACCTTTCAACATTTTGCCACATTTCAGGCTTCAAACATAAAGATATAAAAATTAAATTTTTTGTTAAGAATCAACAACAAGTGGGACACAATCGTGAAGTGGAACAAAATGTATTGGATAATTTAAACTTTTTTAACAAATAAAAAACTGAAAAGTGGGGCGTGCAATATTATTCGGCCCCCTTGCGCTAATACTTTGTAGCGCCACCTTTTGCTGCAATTACAGCTGCAAGTCGCTTGGGGTATGTCTATCAGTTTTTCACATCAAGAGAATGGAATTCTTGCCCATTCTTCCCATTCTTGCAAAACAGCTCGAACTCAGTGAGGTTGGATGGAGAGCGTTTGTGAACAGCAGTCTTCAGCTCTTTCCACAGATTCTTGATTGGATTCAGGTCTGGACTTTGACTTGGCCATTCTAACACCTGGATACGTCTATTTGTGAACCATTCCATTGTAGATTTGGCTTCATGTTTTGGATCATTGTCCTGTTGGAAGATAAATCTCCGTCCCAGTCTCAGGTCTTTTGCAGACTCCAACAGGTTTTCTTCCAGAATGGTCCTGTATTTGGCTCCATCCATCTTCCCATCAATTTTAGCCATCTTCCCTGTCCCTGCTGAAGAAAAGCAGGCCCAAAGCATGATGCTGCCACCACCATGTTTGACAGTGGGGATGGTGTGTTCAGGGTGATGAGCTGTGTTGCTTTTACGCCAAACATATCGTTTTGCATTGTGGCCAAAAAGTTCGATTTTGGTTTCATCTGACCAGAGCACCTTCTTCCACATGTTTGGTGTGTCTCCCAGGTGGCTTGTGGCAAACCTTTAACGAGACTTTTTATGGATATCTTTGAGAAATGGCTTTCTTCTTGCCACTCTTCCATAAAGGCCAGATTTGTGCAGTGCACGACTGATTGTTGTCCTATGGACAGACTCTCCCACCTCAGCTGTAGTTATCTGCAGTTCATCCAGAGTGATCATGGGCCTCTTGACTGCATCTCTGATCAGTCTTCTCCTTGTTTGAGATGAAAGTTTGGAGTGACGGCCGGGTCTTGGTAGATTTGCAGTGGTCTGATACTCCTTCCATTTCAATATAATTGCTTGCACAGTGCTCCTTGAGATGTTTAAAGCTTGGGAAATCTTTTTGTATCCAAATCCGGCTTTAAACTTCTCCACAACAGTATCTCGGACATGCCTGGTGTGTTCCTTTGTCTTCATGGTTCTCTCTGCGCTTTAAACAGAACCCTGAGACTATCAAAGAGCAGGTGCATTTATACGGAGACTTGATTACACACAGGTGCATTCTATTTATCATCATCAGTCATTTAGGACAACATTGGATCATTCAAAGATCCTCACTGAACTTCTGGAGTGAGTTTGCTGCACTGAAAGTAAAGGGGCCAAATAATATTGCACGCCCCACTTTTCAGTTTTTTATTTGTTAAAAAAGTTTAAATTATCCAATAAATTTCGTTCCACTTCACGATTGTGTCCCACTTGTTGTTGATTCATGACAAATGTTGAAAGGTTCAAGGGGGCCGAATACTTTCGCAAGGCACTGCATATATACATATTTTTTTATTTTATTTTAGAATTATATTTGAATTTCGAAGCTGTAGAGGCTAGAGGACGCAGGCTGTTCGCTGCTCGTTCTGTGAGTGGAGGAGAACGAGCGGCCCGCTCAGACTCTACTCAAAACTTTTCACTGCTTGTATTCTTACACAGCTGAATCAATTACCTCAAGTTTTCAATTAAATTACGGATTATAATACAACTTGTATGTAGTAATAAGCATTTTTATCAACTACTTAGAAAAAAAATCGGGTATAGCTTCTTTAAACTTCTTTAAACCGTAGTGACAACAATACAGAGACAGAAACACAGTGTGAATGCCGTGCTGTTGTTCGCTGTTTCCAGTGGTGTCTGCTAGGCTAATGCTGCTGAATGCCGTTTTTTTTTGGTCCTTTTTACTGGAGTCAGAGCCTGCGCAATTTGATGACATAATGCCGGTATAACAAAAATCTCTACCGTTGGCCAAATTTATATCGCATACCGCTTATACCGTACATTTCGCCCAGCCCTACCCAGACGCATTTGTGAAGTGCAGCGAACTACATGGGTCTGGATCCTCCCTTATGTTTCACTTGCAGAAACGGCAGTAATGGTTCAGCACCATTGTGTAAACATAATTTGTCTAATTTGTGTTATCCCTTCTTTCTGATGCACAACATTTGTTATCGGATTGAATTGATCCGGCTAAGGACAAAACATGGCTGGTTCCCAGACTACATATTCACTTGTGGTATAAAGTCTGGTGTTAGCCAGACCAATAACCACTAAACCATCACCACTAAATTTTGTGAAGAGTGAGGAAGGAGGTGCCTGTCGGGCAACGGCATGACGTCATTCCATCTTGTTGCTTGATTTATAAAACTATCCCTGTGTTCCCCGTCCACTTTTAAGTATAACAAAAAATAAACACACTATGGCCACTGTAAAATCCACGCCAAGCCTCACCCAACGTTGGGCCGGATGGCACCATGGCCTTGACCTCCACCTTCACCACAGGGGGCGCTGTATTGAGTTTGGCAGCGGCATGGTCGATGAACAGCTGCACTGCCACATCATCCAGCAAGGGAAAGGGGGCGCTCTGAGCTGCATGCGCACTTTCAGAAGGCCGCTGCAGCTTGTGCATAGACACTGCCGGGTACGGGTTCTCCTGCAGAGAGGAAGAGGACCACAGGGGGTTAAAGGAGGAGGAGAGAAGGTTTGAGGAAAAGGGGTTGGATGAGCTGAAGGTAAGATGAGGAGAAGGACAGGATCTCGGGGCACGGCCACTTAGTTTTTTACAAACGAACTAGGCCAAGTGGCCCGGAACGTTGCCACAGGGGTGTGAAGACGGCCCGCAGTCACAAGGGTTTATTTTAAATGGTGGCACTAATACTAACTTCAGTAAATACCTTGAGTTAAACTGTCCGAGTTAAGTTTCTGTTTCTCTTCCTGTTTACACCCTGATACTGTGCACCAACAGCTCGAGCATGGATCGCTTTCTTTGCATCAGAGTTAATGTGTACAAGTGCGAGATGTGTCTTTCTCCAATGTGCAACAGCTTAGTGGGTAGCGTGTGTGAGTGTGTGCAGGCCCAGCGGACACAGGAGCGCGTCTTGGAGTAAAGAGTGTAAGGGCTGAGAATGAAAAGTTTAGCATACGAGCAGTGCGACTGGAGCAAGGCAGGATGCAAGTGAATGTTGGTGTTCTGGCGATTAAATAATGTCTGAACCTTGAATAACAGTTTAAAGTGTAATCGCAATAGCACCACACTGAGACAGCGAGGGTAAGAACAGAAAGGAGTTGTCCCCCGTAGGAAACGCTTCCCTTTGGCCCTGGAGCAACAAATCTCTCCTTCGACCCTCAAGCACGGCCCGGGAGCTTGCATGAAAAGTTTAACACAAGCAGGGAGAATACAAAAGTATACAACTGCTGCGTTTGTGAAAATGCACGTCACAGCGGGCGCAACAGGAAGACATAACGTGACGCACAATATCACGCCTCCACCACACCTCATCCCCCACTCATCACCACCTGCCACATCGACTGCAGTCATCTGGGCTTTAGAAGCGTGCTCGAGCCCACCCGTCTCAACCGTAAACAAGCACGATTGCAACGGTCACCTAGTACCTAAAGCCCGGATCTAATTGCGAACAGGACTTAGGCCCACTTTAACCGGGCTTCAAGCTGTACAAGTGGCTGCAGCCTCAGAGGGCCGTGGCAGCTTGTGCATGGACACGGCCGAGTAGGGGTTCTTCTAAAGAAAGGACAAGATTAGGGATGCACCGATACTGGTATCAGGTCGATACCATAGGCTTGTACTCATACTCATACCATAGGACCAAATGATGGAAAACCGATAACCAGATTATTGATTCACATTAGCGTCACAAAAGCAGGTAGCTGTGCAGCACGTGTTACCATGGTGATTTCCCAAAGACAGCAACTAATACTCAAGCTAGCAGATAGCTAGCGGCAAGCAAGCTTGGGGCACGCATACAGCCGTATGGCAGTTTTTAAAAGTAAATAAGTGTGACTAGTAAAGCGGACTCTACGTTGTGTAAGGTAAAACTGTCACGAACCAGCAACTTACAAGCAACTTACTCTGCGCAAGTTCCTTCGCAGAGTTTAACCTTAGCTAGCATTTATGAATTCCCAGGGATAAAACAATGAAGTAATTTTTTACAACGTATGTGCAGTACTCGTATCAGTACGAGGATGTGTATAGAGTTAGGGAGGAGGACAGGAGATTAGAGAAGGAGAAGAGTAGGGGTTGAGAGGAAGTGGAGAACAGAGGGTTAGAGGCAGCAGCGGAGCACAACTACAGGAGGTTAGAGGAGAAGTAGAAACGAGGGGGACATGTGACACTGATGGGTGCACAGCTGTGCTTGACAGTGTACACTCTCAGTGATAGATGTTATTGTTTTGGTTGTATTTAAAGACCTTATGCAGAGTTTTTTTTATTTATTGTGGATATCAAAATTGCATGACAGTTAATCAATTAATGTCAATCTGAAATAGATTCCGGCAAAAAAAATACTTAATTTTATAAAAAGAATGTGTTTTTAATGAATTTAAGTTGTCTATGCCTCTATGATGTGTGACGTCATAGCAGGTAACGCCCCCTATATTGAAAAGAATCATAGCCGTGGATATGCTCCATACTCGCCATCCTCTCTTCTATCCGTTGATGTCTGACGCAATACTGCACACTACAGATGTTGACTGCTCATTACACATATATTATATTGATGTTTTGAGAGTAAAAACTTGACATGAGTAAGATTTGAAGCCCAGTCGCTGACATGTCAGTGCTGTAACATAACCGCTGGACTATCACCGCGTCAATGAAGCAAAGCACACTGGTGTTTTCCTCTATAGGTTACGACTGCTCATTACACATATATCATATTGCCGTTTTGAGAGCAAACACGTGTTGGATCCAGAGTCGAACCCCAGTCGTTGACCTGCCAGTGCTATAACACAACCGCTGGACTACCACAGCGCCACTACAGGAGAGCACACTGGTAATAATCTTATATTGAAGCAAATTCGCTGTACACCGCCTTGTCATCTTGAATATCCGCCAAAAAATACTACCAAATACCAAATTGTAAACAACAGCCGGTTGAAACGTACCCGCTCTGACGTCACCAAGGGAGAAGAGGCTGTGAATTTTTTTCGTTTCTAGGGACGTTGCTATGGTCTTTTCTCAATTTGGGAGGGATCAGACAAAAAAAACAATTGATATTGAAATCTTTAGTAGTTCTCCATCCATCCATCCATTTTCTTCCCCTTTATCCATTTCTGGGTCGGGGGGGTGGCAGTCAGAGCTTCACCCAGTACACAGAGCACCAGCCCCTCACTGATCCTCCTGCAGGTGGTGAGTCCACAGGAGCTGAGATCTTTCAGTGGGAGCTTCAGGCAAAGTGGGGTTAAGTGTCTTGCCCAAGGACACAACGACAGCAGTCATCAGTGGGAGTCGTGAAGTAGGTCTTGTGGTGGGCTTGAACCCACGACCTTCAGGCCCAAAGGCCAATGCTCTACCAACTGAGCTACTGTCGCTCAGTTGGCTCACTTAGAAGAGGATGGCGTTCTCTTCTAATATAAATTGGTATTAAAACTGTATTTCTAAATCAATCAAACCCTGCATAAGGTCTTTAAGATAAAGATTATAAGATCACAAGTTAAAACAAACTGTTTCTAACTCGGCATTTGCAGTTTGGTGAAGCAATTTGTTTTCAAAAATGTGTTCTAATTATTATTATATCATGAAGCCACTTTGGAGATATCTGAAATGTGTAGTTTATGCAAGGTGGCCAGAGTTCTTTACAGGAAATGGAGGCTTCTGGTCAAGACAAATGGGAAGCTTTACCATCAGAGAGGATGAAGAACCTTAAACACAACTATCACTCAGTCTTTTAAGACTGTTAAGGATGTTAAAGGATATACACAATTGTGAACAGGGAGGATGAAAACTTCTAATATGGGGCCAGAGAAGAGTTTCTAACCTCATGATCATTTGAACATAGAAAACATAAAAGAAATAGCTTCACACAGCTAACAAATGAATGAACATTGTGTTTGTTCTGCTCCTGCTAACCAGGTTATGGATTGAATTTTGAGAAGCACACATTTTGGAAAAAAAAGATGGATCATATGAGGGTAAATACTGGTGACTTGCATTGGGTTTATATAGCACTTTTTTGGACAATCAAAGACTGTTTACATATCATTATTCTATCATGCCATACACAGTGGTGATAAAATACTACTGTGGCCACAGCTGCCTAGCCTGACTCTTGCCAGGCTAGGCAATTGGCAAGAGTCAGCTCCCTAGCCTGGCAGCTGACTCTGGCAGCGTGAAGTGTCTTGCCTAAGGACACAACAACAGTTTGGCACTTTACAGCCACACCCGGCCAACTGTGGCACCTGGTGTTCCCAAAGGTCTCCCATCACAGTACTAACCAAGCCCTGCCCTGCTTAGCTTCAGAGGTCTGCTGGGATCTGGCTCACAGGTGACGCCACTCACTGATGTGGGACAGCTACGTGGTTCCTCAGAGCAGCTCCTGAACAGCCTGGGTCCCCAGAGCTGCTCAGTACTCTGCACTCACATTCTTGAAGAGTTGTTCAGCCAGCTCCTTGATGTGGCTCATTGTCCGGTGCTGGTCGCCTTCTCCTTGACAGATCCTCTCTACCTGATTGGCCATCAACTGAAAATCATCATCAAATAGTTAATACTTAGACAGAAAACTTCACTCAAAGTAATGAGAGGTGGCAATACTTTTAAGAACTAATTTTCAGTTAAGGTTTTTTCTATCATCAAAAGACGTTTTGGCTACACCCCCCTCACACTGGGGACAAAAAAACTTCTGGAACAAATCTGTAAAAACACATCCTCCGGCCTTTTCTCTTCACTTCTCTCTGTAAATACTCGTCACACTAAATTTATTTCTCAGACAATGAATAAAATAAATGATGATCACTTCTTCTGTAAGTGCAATAAAAGTGATTTGGAGAAGCTCAGGCTTCAAACGTCTCTCCTCTGGAGTAGGGACTGGAGGGAGCCGCTGTTGTGTGTGAGGAGTCAGACTCACATCGTCGAACAGGTCTGTGGTTCTGTAGGGAGGTCCTCTCTCTGACACAAAGCCAGCGAAGGCCATTCCATCCAGCACCTTCATCAGAAAGTCATCCTCTGACAGCGCACGCTTCCCCAAGAAGGCAGCCTGCACACAGCCCCAAAGAAGAGAATGTCCATCCAAAAAGACATTCAAAAAAATCAACTCTTCAACCTTTATTCATCCCGCAGGGAAATGTGTTGCAGTGCACAGACAGGAGCACTGTGAACAAGAATTTGTACTACACAAGCTTTAAGTACTAAAAACACTGTATGTATTATACAAGCATTTATATACTATTAACACTTTATTGTACTATAAACACGTTATGTACTGTGGGATTTCATATCACTTTGAAGCAACTTTTGTTAAGGTTAAACTCATTCTATCAATGTGCAGAAGCCAGTACTTTTCCCTTGTTTTGACTTCTAAAGGCCAAGCTACATGGCACCTTGGAAGCTGCTGATTGGAGGACTTCATTCTCCCATGCTATATTATCACTAACAGTTTGTTACATCCTTTGTTCGTGTTGTTCGTGCTGTCTCTACCATTGACAATAAAACATGTCTTCTGTCTAAATGAAAGACGCAATCTCAGACTTTGTCATCTTCTGTTGGTGGAAGAATGCGGGCAGTGTCTGTAACATCTAGAGAACAGAAGACTTCTTTTTTTACACAAAAATGAGTTGTTTTTTTTAAAGCCAAAACTGAAAAGCTTCAAGAGAAACCATGCCTCTGGACCAGCACATGGACAATCTGCACAGCCCCTGATTCCAGTCAGGCCTGCTGTGAGCTGCTGAGACATGGACACAACCATCGTCCCCTCTTTTGCATAGACATAATTTGGAACAATTGGATTACACAATTTGGACATAATTTGGAACAATCTGGATTTCTGAATTTGGACATAATTTGGAACAATCTGGATTTCTGAATTTGGACATAATTTGGACTGAATTGAATTGCTGAATCTGGACACTAAAGCAGGACTCCCTTGAAAAAGAGATCTCGATCTCAATGGGTATTTTCCTGGTTAAATAAAGGTTGAAAAAGCTGAAACGTGTGATTGAAAGACACGTCACAGAAGAATTTATGGCTCGACACGACAAATGCAGCCTGAAAGAATCAACACGGAGAAGTGGGAGAGACTGTTTTCAAAGCAATATCTGGAAACCATCGACTGATGAAGTTTGGTATTTTACTGAAGATTGTTGAAAAGTTTTATGAAAGATCTGAAAATGTTTTTTGAAGTACCGAGTGAAGTACCGAGTTTGAGTTTTTGAAGTATTGAGTTATGATGTTATGCTGCTGTTTATCGATCCTGATGGTCACATGTGAATGTGTGACCAGAGGGGGGAATGTGAGATTTTATATCACTTTGAAGCAACTTTTGTTAAGGTTAAACTCATCATTCTATCAATGTGCAGAAGCCTGTACTTTTCCCTTGTTTTGACTTCTGAAGGCCAAGCTACATGGCACCGTGGAAGCTGCTGATTGGAGGACTTCATTCTCCCATGCTATATTATCACTAACAGTTTGTTACATCCTTTGTTCGTGTGCTTTGTTCGTGCTGTCTCTACCATCGACAATAAAACATGTCTTCTGTCTGAATGAAAGACACGATCCCAGACTTTGTCATCCTCTTCAATACTATAAGCACCCTTAGTGTCCAAGGGAGTGTGCAGTTTGCCATCCTCCTCATCACTGGAGACCATAGACTGTAAATATTAACGGACGTAGTCACACCATTTCCGCCGTTCAAACTAATGTGCCACCACTTCAAAATGGCTGCGAGGGCTGAAAAATTGTGAAAAAGCGCATCTGCGAATGAGTCAGCCAGCACAGGCCCCATTCATTTGACGAGTGCCTTCAAAATTTCACAGCGACTAAACTAGACAGGTCACAAAAACATTCACTCCCGTCAGCATTGACACTCATGTGTAACGTAGCATTGAGCCAAGAGCCAAATTATGCCCGGGTTCACCCTCATCTGCCCGGGGTGGTATTGCAAACATGTCAGTGTACGTCATTTTGGACATTTCTGAGGCGGGACCCGCCCCCACTGCTGGAGACTCTTCAGCTGGGAGCTGAAAACTTCTCAGTCCCTGGCTGCATCCAAAAATTACCTCTTTCCTAGTCCTTATTGCTCCTGATAGTTTACCTTTTGTAGAAATCAGCCATAAAAAGCTTGTAGGAGATAGAAACACCTACCACCAGAAGTGGAGCCTGCAGCTTGCTCCTGGCTGCGCTAGGTTTCTATGCTATAAGAGCTAATGTTCCTTGACTTTATTTGCCTATGTAGATTCTACTGTTACCAGAATCCGGTCATCGGTGAGAGGAAAGAAATTTCCATTTGTCATTTACGATATTCGGATGAAGGACCTGTTATTATCATGCCTTCAGTTGCACATTGGAGTTTGTCTTTTATCGTAAGCACCACATTCACTTCATACCAGACATTGGCTTTCATTGCAATCTGAACCACACTACTGATAATTACATACTCCACCTCATACCTTCTCTTTTGTTAAAGAGCGACTAAACACCTGTGCCCAGCCTTACTCAGCCCACATGAAGGTTTGAAAATTTTCTCTAAAAAGGGCGTTGCCTGGAGGACCAAGGGACAAGAAGGGGGGCTTAGAGTTGGGCGTGGTCTGGGCTGTGATTGACAGCTCACTAAAGCAATAGTTTACAGACCAGAAAGTCTCATTCCACCCTTGTTTACACACTAAGATAATTGTAAAGCTACACACCTGAACCTAATCACACTCAATAATCTCAGAATGACTCATGTAATTTAATTTTAATCCACTAGATGGCGCCAGAATACTCCAAACTGCAGCTGGGGCGTGTGTGAGAGTTGGATGGGTTCACATCACTGGCTCTGACAGACTGACGTCACAGAAAACAACTGATGTCATAGAGAACTTCAGAGTCAATGGAGAGGCCAGAACCAAATTCAAATGTAGTACCACCAAAAAGGTTGAGAGGGCACCACACAGCGTTTTTTGGCTCAAAAGTGATATTTTATCTAATTTGAACTAAAAGGTCAAAAAAATGACCAGGATATGTAGACAGCACTACAATAAACATACTTATGCAGTTTATGAGTTAAAAAAAAGTTGATTTGGTGTTTAGTTGCTCTTTAAATGTCACACTTAACTTAATTAATTTTTTACCCCCGATTCATTTCCCCCATCTAGTATGGCCCTGGGCAGCCCGTGATGCTCTGCCATAAAAGCAGTTAATAGCAGTTGAGTATAATATGGTTAATAATTTAAATTCAACTATAACATGTTTGGCTTGGTATTGAGAAGCAGAAACTGGACTTGAGGAGACAATAAGTGGAGAGTAGTTCTGAACTTAGTGACTTGAAACTTGTTCCATGGTTCAATCAGAGTTCCTGAAACGTTTATTAGCAGTTATTATTAGCAGGCTATGCGCGTGCGAATGCTACACTATGTTTTGGTTGGTGAGGCGCAGCAGGCGGTTTCAGCAATGAGTAGCACCGACAGTATTACATATGTTGACCTTAAGGCAGCAGTATTGAAAGTGCCGATTCACAGCAAGAAGGTCCTGGGTTTGATTCCACCTCCTGACATGCCCTTTCTGTGTTGAGTCTGGATGTTTTCTCCATGTCTTCCTCATAGCACTAAAAACATACATAATAGGCTGATCTAAAACCACCCCATACGCACTCCCGCCCCCCCCCCCCGTATGGGGCCACTGAGATTTCTAAATCTCTTTTTCAGGGGAGTCCCTGAAAAAGAGATTTAGAAATCTCAGTGGGTTTTCCAAGTTAAATAAAGGTCACATCTCAGTCTTTCATTTTTGAAAATATTTGCATCCATGGAAATGCAAATATTGCTCTGTGAGCAGATACTTCTGTTTTATGAAGTCTCTGGAGGGTCTAGCTTAAACTAGCATCAAAGCCCACCCACCACTTCCGCACTGCGTTTCTCCCCATCACAGGGCAGTACGTCAGATTAACTAAACTCATGTTGCTGACCGCTATGCTTCCATCAACGCACGTCCATGCATTGGCTATGGTTTGTGGAGGTTATCGTTGCCTCTTTCATAGAGAAGCACTATAACCAAAGTAAGGAACCAGCTACATGAGACTGATGTACCTTATGGAAACGAATGACGGGCTCCGGGTGGATGCGGATTATGTGTAAACACCATCGGTACCCCTGAAAGAGACGTGCAAACAGCCACAAGAACACGGCACGGATCTCTTTGTCCTAAAATCAAAGCAGAACATTTGAGAAACATGCTAAAACGGTAGACAAATGCTTTATGTAGTCCAAATGTACCTGTATTCTCAGTGAAGAGGGTTGATTGGAGACCGGGGGAAAAGCGTAGTCAGCAACTTCCAGCTCAGGGTCCAAAACCTAAAGCAAAATGTAATTCTATTTTAACAAGGACATTATTATTATTAATTCTCTTAACTCGTTCAGAGCCGGCCAGCTTTGGCCTAGAGTGCCAAAAGTCTCGAGCATTTTTAGTATTCAATATTTTAAGGGCTGGTCTGGCCTGAACAGGAGCACACCAGACTCCACTCATTTCCACAGGTGAGTCCAGTTTTAAGGTCTAGGAGGTTCTTGTATAAAATAGTCAAGATTGTTACTTATTTATATATATGAATCTAATATATATGTTTTTTGAGTTTGAAAATCAGGTGTCATCAGGCTGGATGACAATCACCGGTATGTCATCCAGTATTTAATACATTTTTTGCATATAATATTATTCCATATTAAAGAGACACCATGCTTTTGAAATTCAGATTGAACTGAAGACCCTGTAGTTAGCGGGTAGGGTTGCAAGCTTGAGAGCAGAAAAATAAGGGACACAATTTGGGTGGATCGCATTGAGCACTTTTTAGTCCTAATTTCAATCATGGAATTTCAAAATCAGTTTTTAGAACTTAATTAATTGACTACATATAAAAACAAAAAACAAATCCTTAGTCAAAAATGAAATTAAATAAACAGGTGGAACTCTTTGGCTGGTTAATGCATGCTTATTAGTCATAAAAAATATATATAAAAAGAGACATATGCTGTAACATACATTATCTATGTATGTTACAGTAAAGACCAATTACTGTAAAAGCAATTTAAAAAAAAGAAAAACATATGTATTCATTTAACCCTCTATGCACATGGGTCATTTTGGGGAACTTTCCTCGTTTTCATTGTGTATAATTGCTCATAAAACAGTCATCCGGTGATGCAGAGTCAAGCAGTATACTTTGTTTTTTTCAGTACAACCTGGGGTTTTAGAATATTCATATTGTAAAGCTGTCGTATGAATTATATAAAAATTATGGAATCATGAAGACAAAGAAAAAAATTCAAACGGAAAATATATTTAACAAAAATGTATTGAAAAAACACAATGAAATGCTATAAACAACTTTTTACACTGCACAGAAATGTTATTTAGGGACTTGGGGATAATGGGGAAAAAAAATGAATCTCTAACTATTATACTTTTTACAAAATTCCACTATAAAAGCAAAAAACTCTGTACTGATGCCCTTCCTGAAGCAGGTTGTCTGCTTGGGTTGCTTCTGTAGCACAGCTGTAAAAAACGTAAAACATAAGAAACTGAGACAAACAAAAAAAACCATCAATTATTTATATAATACATATATTTATGTATACATACACATAATGTCATTTTACTGTATTTATTATCGTCTTTATCAATAATGCGCATTCTTCAGCCGGTTATTGCAATCGCAGCTGTAGTTTCAACTGTGGGAGAACATGTACAGACAGAGGAGTGAGACATCACTCTCTGACGATCTTTGGCAGTCCCCGTGTGTTTGTATCTCACAGCTGTTTGTACCTCACGGGTCACGCTTTGGACACGGACTTTCAGACAAACGTAGTTTATCCTCCGTGCATTGCACAGACAAATCAAAACTAGTTTCAGAAAGCCTTGAATGTGTACTTCACAGAGGAAAAAAAAGTAAGTTGCTACGTTTTACCGTTCGCAAGTAAATTGATCATTTGTAAAACATGTGCGCATGCATCGGCGCCGATGCAGACGGGTTCATAGGGTTAAAATATAAAAAACTCACAAATGTTGAAATCAAAGACTGTAGCAGTTAGATGTGGTCATTATTTATAGTGTCTGAGAGTTTTGTGCGTGTACATAACATCACATAAAAGCTATTGTTCGTTTACAAAGGTGGTCTTGACATTTGTTGACGCTCCCTAAGCGCTTTTTTCTGCTCTTGAAGCAATGGATTTCTCTGCATTGAAACAGTACAATGGATTTGATCAATCGATGTAAATGTGATCATTTTGGCACAATCACTTTATTTGAACAAAGTAGCTTTCGTGAGCTATTGGCCGTGGAAGTCTGAATCTGACGCTAACTTTACCAAACTTCTGCTGTGATGATGCGGTGGGCAACCCTGGCGCTTGTCAACATTAAGCCCATGGATGTGATCTGGGCTAATGCTGCTGGGCTAATGCTGCTAGGCTAATGCTGCTGGGCTAATGCTGCTGGGCTAATGCTGCTGGGCTAATGCCGGTTGTTTTGGTGCTTTCTCCTAGCGTCAGAGCCTGCGCAAGCTTTAGCCAAACGGCGCCGGGTTAACCTCAAGTCCCACCAGGGCCCTAGCATGGAGGAGAGGGACTCCGTTGGGTCCCGTGCAATTTGATGACATGACCGCAATATGCCGGTATAACAAAAATCTCTATCTTTGGCCACATTTTTATCACATACAGCTTATACCATTTATATCGCCCAGCCCTAACCTGAAGATTTGAGGAAATGGGTGTAGTCTGGTGTGCTCCTGCTCAGGCTGGAACAAAAACCTGCAGCCACACCAGCCGCCATTGACACTGCTTTAAGCTATAACAAAGCAACAATCAGCAATATCAGACTACCGTAAGAGAAAATCATAATGGAGTGGGACAATGCAAAAATAGTGTCAACAGAAGAACATAAATCAGAGACACGTCACACCATCACGTGTCAGTGTTGTCTGCCGCCGAAACGTGTCGGCTAATTAAGCAATACTTATTGCTACGTCCTGAGAATTTCCCAGCTATAAGTGGCTAGTTTTCATCAAAATCCCTACAATTTCTCAGTAATTTCAGAAAATCTCAGTTTAATTTCAGAAACATTTTTTTGCTCTGTTTGAGCTTGTCCCTCTTCTAGGACATGGAAAAAAACATGGACTAGTCAAATTGCCCTGAATGAACCAGGGTAATGTAATAAAAACACACAACGATAAATTGTCTGGTTTTGAGCTGACGTGCATGTGCCATGTTAGAATCCACGAGTTAGCAACCACACATTTGCCACACATGAGCTGCAGACTCACCATCGACAGCAGAGTTTGGGTTTGCTGGAGCAGTGGCTCAGGAAGTGGAGAAATGTGGACACACTCTGGGATGGTCACTGTCCCACCATCGAGGTCAGCAATGATTACGTCCAACTAAAACACAAACACACGACAGAACATAATACCAATATTTGCGTTACAGATTTGCAAACTGAGTTGATGAAAACTCAGTAGATGAGAAGATGAGTTCAAACAGCAAGAGGAAAGCACTATACAGGATACGTAGTAAAATATTAATTAGGATTTTGTAAACCAATCACCGGTATGCTAACAGTTTACTCAGCCGATACCAATCAAATTAACTTAGTAATGCAAATCTTTGCATTCATTGTTAAACCTTTGTTATTTATTATTTTTTGTTATTGAGCCAAGTGATTTTTATCATTATTTTCTGTGAGTGCTCCATTGGCCTAAATATGATTTAAATCAATTCCATCAAATCAATGCACTTCACGCATTGATATTATAAGGCAGAAAAGTCGTCAAGTGAAAAAGTTGCCATAAAAACCACACATTGTGGGCGTGACTAAGCGGGCTGCTCTTTTAGGACGGATGTGGATTTGACTGAAGCACAGCTGCATGGCACACCTGTGTGCAGCTCATGTAAAGACTTGTCCAAACGAGATTATGTGCTGGATGTGCTGTTGAACCACTGCGAGCATAGCGCATCCTGTAACTTCCACACATAAACACACAAATAACACGGATAACAGAAAAAAGAAAGGAGCAAAGACAAGGTGAAAGCCACGCATGCGTTTGTGCTTAACAGTGTTTGGTGTAACTAAGTGTAACGTATTACTTTGAAAATAATTATAATTGCAGTTACTATTAAAATATTTATCAAATTAATAAAATCTCATCATTAACATTAAAATAAATCAGAGCCACAGACCCACAGACCCACAGACTTCATCACAAGCTAAAGACAGGGTTCGTACAGTCATGGAAAACCTGGAAAAGTCATGGAATTTTAAAATCTAATTTCCAGGCCCTGGAAAAGTTTTGGAATTTTGTAGGTCCTGGAAAAGTTTGGAAATTTTACAAAATGTATGTTTAAAAAAATTTAAGGCTATATAAATATGTAATGAATAAATAAAAAACAATCGTAAAGCACTCCAGCGCTTACATTGTATTCGGGCAGACAGGTTGCTTGCAGCCATTAGCGACACGCCCCCCGCTTGACTCGAGGCCAGCTACGTGTTTTCCGTGCTACAGCGACTCAGCAAAACCATCATGCCAGGAAAATGCAGATTCAACAATGCGTGGCTATTTGTGGAAAAATATCAGAGCTGGCTTCAAAAAGACTCCGACTCAAGTCATGCCAAGTGTAAGCTATGCAGTAAAACGTGTGACATTGCGAATATGGGGGAGTCTGCTCTGGCGAGCCATATGAAAGGGAAAAAACATGAGTTAGCCATGAGGGCAAATGCCGCGGCGATTCCCATCAGCCAGTTCATAGGCGCTAGTGTACAGAAAACCCCCACGCCAAGAGCACCGACAACAACTCAAGGAACGTTGGACTTTTCCTCTAAAAATGAGGTACTGAAAGCCGAGATACTATGGGTATTAAAAGTAATGAATTCGCATTACTCCTACAAATCGTCAGAGGGCAAGAGTCGTCTGTTTGCAGCTATGTTCCCAGACAGCCAAATTGCCACAAGATTCACATGCGGTGAGAAAAAGTGTGCATACATCGCCACATTTGGGCTTGCGCCGTATATCAAAAGACTTTTATTGAAAGAAGTGTCACAACAAACCGCATACGTCGTGCTATTTGACGAGTCTTTGAACCATAGCTTACAGTCGAAGCAATTGGACATTCACGTACGCGTGTGGGAAGGTGGAGAAGTCAGAAGCAAATATATCGGTTCCCAGTTTCTTGGACATTCTACAGCGGCTGATATTGTGGAAAAGATGTGCAACACGTTGTCCGAGATGGGAATTAAAAACCTCATCCAGCTGTCAATGGACGGACCCTACGTGAACTGGAAAGCATATGACATGATTCAAAAAGAGATGCAAAAACAGGTGGACAAGTCGCTGTTAAACATTGGCTCTTGTGGTCTGCACGTACTACACAACGCTTTCAGAGCGGGGTCCAGCGCAGCGGGATGGGACGTTGAGCACTCGCTCGTATGTTTGTATTGGCTATTTGTATTGGCAAGCAAGTGTAGAGAGAGGGTTTTCCATAAACAAAGAGATAATTGTGGAAAATCAAAAGGAACAGTCACTCATTGCTCAGAGGCTCATTGTGGGACACATTAGGGCTGTTGGTGATGTGACAAATGTACCTCTCACCAAGGAACTCTTCATGTCAGTTTCATGTGCACGACAGCGATACGAAAGCTACTTGGATAATATGAGGAGGGCAAATGAGAAGCAAAGGTCTGTGGAAAAGAGAAAGGCACTTACAGATGAACTAGATGAACTAAAAAGGAAGAAAGCCAGAATACATCAGGATGTTTCTGCATTGGAGAAGGCAGCAGACGACTACGCCAACAAAGCAGAAAACACTGGCAACATAACCTTCATAACAAAGTCAAACAGTCTGCGCCGCACGGCTAAGGAAAAGAAAATCTCTCTACAGGATCTCGATAAGCAAATGGACAACAAGCTTCTTGAGATGAAAACCAAAGAATGAGCTACAAACTATAAATGGCCTAAGACCTTTACAGAATATAGGCCTGCTTACTCACTATATCACACTGATACTTTAAAATGTACTAACTAGGCTTTTTGATATGTTTATTTTGTATTATTACTTGAACTAAATGCACTGGAGCTGGCTATTTATGTGTCTTGAAGAATTAACTGCAAACCTTGTCCTGCAATACTGGGACACTTTATTGTTACTTGAACTTTTTTTATTTTATTTACATTTAACCATTAACATGGCAATATAGGCCTACTCAGTCTGTACTGGGACACTTTATTTTTTACTTAAACTACAGTTAAAGTACTGCAGCTATTTTATATTTCAGAATGAACAGGGGAAGCCTTCTTAGTCTGTAGTGAGAGACACTTTATTTTTACTCGAACTTAAGTTAAAGCACTGAAGCTGTTTTATTACAATATTTACCTGTACTGAGACACTACTTTCACTTCAGTTAGTCTGCAATGCAATGCAATGCAGAAATGTAGCAGTACATACATTGCTACCATTTTGAGTGTATTTTATTGTTGGAAGTAATTGCATGGTTACTTTTTGTTCAGGAATGTATTGAAGGTACAACAGTTAATATTTTTGATAAAAAGTTGACTTTGCATGCTGAATTTAGGCTAAATAAAAACAATGTTTGGTTACCCAACCTTTTATTAAGTATTTTTTATGTAATGATAAAATAGTTATCTGACACATAGAGGCCTGAGCTGGCCAGCGTACCTAGAGCTCCCTCTAGAGGCAGCAGCAGGAATGACTTAGTAAAAAGTGATCAACTGAAAGTTGTTTTGCAACTCAATTGCACCCTGGTTAACACACTTTGAGAGGAAAAATGTGGTGGACAGTTCTGTGATTTTCCTATGACTCAAAATAACCCTTAACTCAAAACTGCATGAATGAAAAACTATTCTAACAGTGTTGTACAGTGTTAAAATTCTGTCGTTTTTTTGCAGAATATGTTCCCTTTAAAAGTATTTTATTTTATGGAAGACATCTGTAAAATGTCTTCCATAAAATGTTTGTAAGACATCTGTAAAATGTGTTTAGGCACAAAATCAACAAATGAATGCAAGTAACAATTGAAATTGACTGAGTAATTTTTGGCCATGGAAAATTGGTTAAGGGTCATGGAAAAGTCATGGAAAAGTCATGGAAAACCTTAAGAGGAAATCTGTACGAACCCTGTAAAGAGGAAAGAAATTATTTGATTGGGAATTTAACAAGACGAAGAACAAACTTGGCTAAAAAAGTATTAAAACTGAATAGTTAAAAGCCATGGAGAGTTGGACCCACCAGTTCCTGCGTCTCGGACTTGAAGAAAGAGTTGACTCCGATGATGAAGGGGGTGGGCGTGCTCAGGACCTCCAGCAGTTTACCAGGAAGGATGGGGACGTATGTGAAGCTGCCATCACAAGTCATCAGTAATAAAATCAAACAATCTCCACTGCACTTTACTTATTATTCTGTTCAATTTAGAATGCACAATAGAACAAACATATATTTTAGGTTTTCATCAGACACTAAAAAACATGGTCTACTTGCTGCCACTTCTTCCCTTTCAAACTTATGGACTCTTGAGTCAGAGGCACCCATGAGCTTCTGCAAGTGGCCCCTCCTGCAGGAACACTTGCAGCAGTCCTAACTGCACACTCGCCAATCAGTGCAAATCGTGCAGTGATGACACACGGCTGGAACGGCTGTTGTGGTGAGAGTTATTGAAAATCCTGGATAAACTGATCTGGTTAAATAGTGCGTTCCCATTAATGTGCATTTGGAACTTAAGAGCGGTCCTAAGAACCAGGCACTAAAGCCGTTTTTGTCTCATGAAAAGTCCCAATAGGTTTCACTGAGCATTTCCGTAGTCAAAACTCAGAATGCCCAGATGTCAGCCTGGGTCGCTGTGGTTGTGATTGGACAGCCAACCACTCCAACTGATTATGACTACTGTACAAATTCCCCATTTCAGTATGCCTTATGAGCTTTAAACCTTAACATCTTGTAAGGGCTATGGTTACACAGAGTGGACCTTCTCGCACACCTGTATTTGAGAGGGAACATGATGGCCAATAGTCCTCTGCAGGCGTCTGTCAGTCTTTGGTAACTGCTCGACAAAAACAGGATCTTGTGTTCGGTGAGAGCGGCACAGAAGAGGCAGAGCACATTCACAATCCCTGAAAGAGAAAGACTCCATTTTTATAGAAGCGTGTTTAATCGTGTTCCAACATTAGCTATCTTATCATAATTCACGCTGCAGAGCCAGTCTCTATGGTACCTTATTCTTCTCTGGGAGAGATCATCCTTTACACTTTTATTCAACAGGCTCTCTGGATAAAACTGTCCCAGAACATCATGCTGTCAATTGTATATGGTAATGGTTAGTCCCTGGCCAAAAGCAGGCAAAGTGGAGTGCACCAGAAAACAAGCCGATTTCACCTTCATTAAGCAGCAATCATGTTCTTCTAACGCATTTATTACCAAACAGCACTTTTTCAATTTGCCTTGAAGTGAAAAGATACCATGCACGCAATTGGCAATAAAGGTGTAAACAAAACATTGACCGTTCTTTTTTTTCAGCCCCTCTGCCTTTTTGTAGGTTAAATGTTAATACAATTTCTTCTAAAAGTCACTGTGTACCCAGGACCAGTCACTAACCAATATATTTTCAGAAGGAAAACTTTTAAGGTGAAATTGTGAAAACTAGAATATTGTTCAAAGACTCTGTACTTCTGAACCCATGCGAAACTAATATTTATTTCAAGCCTTTATTTGTTAGAATAATTTTTGATACTTGGTTCAAATCTTGTAAAACCCTAAATAAAACATCCAAAAAAAGTAATATATTGAAAATGGACTGAAAGCCATAAAAATCTAAATGGAAATTTCCCCACTGTGGGACAAATAAAGGAGATCATCTAAATGTCACATACAGTCTATATCATATTGGTTACAAATTTTAAGTTGAAATACAGAAATACACTTTTCAACAATATTCTAGAATATTCTCTGTTGTAAAACAAAGCCAGATGAGTGCCAAACCAGTTTGCAGAAAGAGCTAAGCCCCTGCCTATGATATATAATATCATATACTTTTTCTATATAAATATTTTTGGAGCACATGGTACCAAGCCATGCTTGTCATCATTTCCCACTTAAAGTCATCTCTTATCCCAGTGATTCCCAAACTTTTTCTGATGGGCCCCCCTTTGGTACATAAGAATGTCGTCGTCTCCCTAAAAAAGGACATATATACACATTTTGTTTTCAGAGTCCATTGCAGTTTATTTCATACATTGTAAGCGGCAGAGATTTTTTTCTAAAACGCTCGATTTCGACATCTTAATTTCAAAAGGCTTTAACTTAAAAGTGACAAGAGATAAAGGCTTTCTGTAAATAAAACAAAAACAATCCGATTTGCATAATAGATGGCGTTGGAAATCATGGATTTTTGAATTTCCATAAAATATAAAAGTATTTATTTTTCTACTGACAGACAAATCACTAGGTCAGGACATGAGCACACGGAGATAACTCACACTGTAAATCATGACTGTCCCTGCAGTGAGGAGTCTGCCCAGGCTCGCGCCTACAGGTGAAGCGTGCGCCCGAGTGTCACTAGGACTCTCCTGCTCCTATGTCTCCCCTGCTCTCCCTCTTGTCTAACAAACACAAGACAAAGGCTTCTCCAACACGTTTTACTGTCCCGGTGATGACGGGGAGGCACGATGATACATCTGTGGGGGCTACTATTAGTAAGTAAGTAAGTTTTTATTTATATACCGCCTTTTCACTGCAGATCTGAGTCTCAAAGCGGTTTACAATTGTTAATTTTGGGCATTTGTCTTTCACTCCACACAGAGATGGGAGCGGGTTCGCCAGTACAGGAGGCGCATGCTAGAACTATTGGACATATTTTTAGTGGTAGGGGAAACCGGAGTACCCGGAGGAAACCTACGCAGACACGGGGAGAACATGCAAACTCCACTCAGAAAGGCCCTGGTCCGACCAGGATTCGAACCCAGGACCTTCTTGCTGAGAGGCGAGAGTGCTATCCACTCAGCCACCGTGCCGCCCGTGTTGAATCACGGGCGGCACTTTAGCGGAGACTTTAGCGGAGGCTGGAGTCCCAGCCCCACCGCAACTTTCAGTCTTGTCCTCCACAAATCGAACCAGTCTCTGAACCTCCCAATGACAACACTGTTCCCACTGACTCTGTGCGAAGTGTCGAAAGTTTGTGTTTGGTACAACACTCGCACGCTGCCTCACACCTGCACTCGCTATGATAACTGATTCAACGCGGTCTTGCTTGAATATTTTTTGATGGAAGCATAATGTTTTTTTGGGCCAGGGAGATAGTCTGACAGGTCTGCCAACTAGTGGCAGGGAGTTTGAATGAATTGTGTCCATCTTATGCTAGCCGCGTCATTTAGTCTACTTTATTTTTGTTCATTCATTTGTCCTGCGCCCCCCCCCCCACTTCGGGAACCACTGTCTTATCCATTGATGTCCTACTTTAACTTTAAAAGACAAAGAAAATATTCTCAAAGGACTGTTTATACATTTGAGAAATGACAAGACTCAATGTATTACCGAGCTGTCTGAAAAGCTGTGCCACGCTGCTGCCGCTGACAGGAAGAGAGTCTGTGATGGGCGTCTGTATCACCTGTCTATCCCCGGCCCCCAGTGTGATGGTCCTCTGCAAACACAAACACAGAACATGAGACAAGAGTCAGAGGGGATGGACTGGCAAACGTACGGCACCCACAGATTAGCAGAAAGGTGCAAAGTGAAAACCCGCAAGTGGAGTAGAGTTTAATGAAGAGCAGTTTACTGACATAGTGAGACTCTTCCACAGCGGTGTGTATGAAAGCAGCCCAGCCATATGTTCCGCAAATTTTATTATGTCTGATAGAAGATCGGCCAGATGCAATAAATCAGTTACCACACAAACAAACAATTCAAAATAGCATCTTTGTTTATTACTGAAAGTACACGCATAAGTAACACACAACAATGAAACAAAAGCCAAATGATACATGATTTTTTCTAAATAGAAAAGTAGGGCAAGTTATTACAATGTGGAATCCCCAGCTCTAACTATTCAATGTCCCTACTGAAGAAAAGCATCCCCATAACATGATGCTACTACGTCAATATGACACTGGGGTTGGTGCCCTGATGATGATAAATTGTTGCATGCCATTTTGCATTTGGACATTTTGATATAATCTGACCGCAGCACCTTCTTTAATGCGTTCATCGTGTCCCCCGTTTTTCTTTTTCTGGCTGTATTCCAACACTGAATTTATATTCCATGATGTCCAGATCTGTGAAACGTACAACTGATTTTTCCCGCATGTACAGCAGGTTCCCCCAGGTGAGCTGTGAATATCTACAGCTCCTCCAAAGTAACCATTGGCCTCATGTCTGCATCTGATCAGCATTGTCCTTGGATTTGCTTCAAACTTCTCCACCTTGATCTCTCTGGTGGGCTACTATGTGACCAATACACTGCTGTAATTATACCGTTTTAAAAGCAATTCAATTCACCCTGAAACATGCTGAGTGAATACTTGTACAGGCGCCAGATTTCACAATTAAAACAATAACAATTTGCTTTCACTTCACAGTTGTCCGTCACTTGTGTGCAAACTTTCAGTAAAAAATACTAACTCCAATGTTTATGCATTTAAGAGCACAGCCATGCTTATATTAGAAATCTATGTATTTGGGTGCATAGGCCACTCATTCATATTTATCATTGAGATGATGTACACAGTCCCTCTGCACGCTTCATTGTTTTGGTTTTGGTTTGTGATGGAAAAGCAGGAAACATGGTGGATATGAAATTACTTGTGCTCCTACAGTTGAGCCTGTGTGATATTTAAATGTTCAAAATAATAAGTGATGTCCCTGAACTTGTATGATCAGTCGCATCATCGCATCACTCTTTTCTCTGCCTCACTTCCACTCACACTGCATTCCAGAGTCAGAAAAGAAAATTGACGAGCAAAGTAAAAACACTGGTCAAAGAAGCAGGAAGGGGTGATTGGGTCTCAAAGTGGAAGAGAATATCAATAACTTAAACATGCATGAACCAAGTTTGTAAATGAGAAAACCATTTTACAGATTATGTCTGTCCCAAAAAGTCAAAGGGAATTTGAATATGTAAAGCAAAATGTATTTCAAAATCAACTGCCCTGGGATTTTCCTGTATTTACATGTCTGTGAGACTAATAAAGGTTTATCTTAAACTTAAACTTTCTATTTAAATTCAGCTTGCACAGATTCTCAAGATTCAGATTTGGGTCATGTACCGAGCGTGGACCATGGACCATAGACCCGCGGACAGAACCATAAACGCGCGTACAGGACAATCCCCAGCTTATTGCACGTGCGGGTCTTCTCAGTCTCTCACCCATGTATCCTACCAAAGGGCAACCAAAACTCATTGAATCCCTGGGTCCCACCCTCGTGTCTCTACCCCCTTGGGCTCGGCTTTGAGGAGCCCGGAAAGCGGGGCTTCCTTCCCCCGGGAATGAACGCTCAGGCCCGGGTCTGAGCGGGAGGACTCCCCGTCCCGGTGATAGCCCAGAACCGGAGGAGTGCGTGGGTGAAAACCCCGTGTCTCTAGCCCTTATGGTTCGTTTTCTACGAGCCCTGAAAGCCAAGGTTCTCCTCCCCCAAAATGAGCGCTCATGGGCGGATGGGAGGCGTGCGGTCCCCCGGTGGTTTCCAAGGGCCATAACTTTCTGGTCCTTTATCCCCCGCGCGTCAAATTCACACCGCGGGTGCCCCGGGACCAGGGGAGTCCCTGGGTCCCACCCCCATGTCTCTACCCTCCCTGGCTCGGCTTTGAGGAGCCCGGAAAGCGGAGCTTCCTTCCGCGAGGTCTCTTCTCTCTTCCGTGTCGCAAATAATAATTAAACGAAATAATAGTAATGCCATAATTCTTTTGAGAATTTTAAACAACTAGAGCCAAAACAAACACATTGATATTGAAGCATAAAGGATTTATTTTTTTATTCAAGTTTAGAAAAGGAAAAGAACAATAAACGAATGGAAATTTAGATTTTCTGATTTTATTTTGAAACGGAATAACTAATGATCGAAGGGTAGACGGATTTTTTAGGTCGATTTGATTTGATTTTTTGTTTTAGCGCAACCGGAAGTATGCGCCAAAGGCTGTGCAACATTATTTTTGTCCGGTTGGGAACACACAAAGCAGGCAGCATGCATAGCCAAAGCAACGGAACAGGACATTTTACTTGTTTTAAGGATTCTTGGACTCGTTTTGTGGAGCTCAACTGTATTTTCCAGACAGAATCTTGCGCAGCCTTTATAATAGAGGAGAGACAATACTGTTAAGTCATGGATGAACGGTTGTAAATATGTAATTGTATGCTCTTTATAATGCTTTTCTATTCTTATTATAACTACGGATCATGTGTGTGTATGAGTTTGCTTAAAGTTTAAATAAAAATATTGCTCATTTGTATTCTTGTACCGGATTAATGTGAACCTTTAGAGGTTAGAGAAAAGATCAACTGTGTGCCACAGCACCTGGAGTTATGTTAAACCTTATGAATACGTATTACCTCCATTTAGTAAACATCGAAGGGAGACATTAGACCCAGACTTATCTTAACTTTTAGTCAATAGGTAAAATTCCAATCAACATACATTTGTGAGAGGAAATAAATAAAACAAGTTACAAAATGCTTTAATGGAATGAATGCATTTGAAGAAGGCAAGTTTAGGCTTCCAAGTATATTGGCTTCCAACTGAAACAGAATACAATCCTAGCACAACCTATAGCACCTGACTTTAACTGTACCTTTGGGTAACATTTTTAAAACATTAACTAAATTAAATCTAACAACTGGGGTATCAAACTCATTCCTAAAGAGCCACTGTGGCTGCAGGTTTTCTATCTGTCCTGTTCCGTTAATTTGGCTATGCATGCTGTCTGCTTTCTGCTGTTTTCAACCTGACGAAAATAATGGTGCACAGCCTTTGGCGCATACGTCCGGTTGCGCCAAAACTAAATCAAAATCGACCTAAAAGCATTATTCAATTTTTTTTGTTTTTCCTTTTCCTTATCAAAATGAAAGATGAAACAACAAGCCATTTTTTCCTTTTTAATTTTCAATTTCAATTTGAAAAAATGATTGAAAATACACGGACCGTCACTCTAAGCATAGGTTTTATGCTGCTTTCAGACCGGATCATGCGTTGCGTCGACTTTCAATGCAAAGTCAATGGTGACGCGCGTTTGAGCGTCAAACTGCATGGCACGCGCGCACGGACTGCGCGGCAAAGGCGCAGGAGCGGAAAATCGACACACGCAAGAGATAAATATTGCTGAGCGTTTCCTCCGGATGCTCGTGCAGCGACCAATCAGAGAGCCGCAAAGTGGTCACAGGGACATTAGCGGTCAGACTGAACATACTCGTTAACAGCCAAAACAGGAGCTACACCAGGACTAAAACCAGGGTTGACAATGGGGGACATAGTGCTTGTGAACATATGCGTTTTCATGCTCCCGTGACTTAATGCAACTGCTTCGAGCGTGTTCGCCGATGCGGAAGTACCGTTTGATAATAAAATAAACGTATGCCGCACCTCCGTGAACACATACTACTGTTATATAAAGTCTCTGGAAGGTCTCTGGACACAGAGACGCTGCAGAGCTGCATCTTCGGAGAAGAACTTTACACATCAAAGTCCGCCCACCACTTCCGCCACTTCCGGCGCGCGCCACCGCAGGCCAGGACTTCTGGTCTGAAGACCCCTGCGTCTGAAAATTAGAGAATGTGCGTTTGGTGCGCAAGGCGGCAGCATTCCAGCGTTGGCGGTGTGAAAGCACCTTCACAGGTGTGTCAGGCCCTAATGGGTTAACTCCTCCAGGTGAGTTCCTCAATGGGTCCACTCTTTTATTACATCCTTTAAGATCAATATTCAGATTTACAATGTTCTACATTTAAAATATGAGCCACAGGTGTCAGACAAAAGAGATGAAACTGAAACATTTTATATTGTTAACCTAAGTTAACTTAAAGCGGGTGCCCACACTTTATGCCATGTCTTTCAGCGTGATATATAGATGACGGAGAAGCCATCATCCCATGGTCTTACCACCCGTAGGAGGATCAGCGAGGGACTAGTGCATAGAGACTTGGGTGGCAGCTCTGATTGCCAATCCCCCTCGACACAGAAATTGAATTATAAAGGGGTAGACAATGACATGACATGATTTCTAAATGAGAAAAAAAACATGTTATTTGAAATAAGGAAAATACTTTTGATCATTTTACTGGTCAGATCAAATCTACAAAAATCAGGAAAATATCTGATTTTTGGATTAGCCATGCTTTAAAAGCTCTGTCAAATGCGGTGTTATACTTCACTCCAATAGATAGAGGTTATTACAGTGGTGCATCCAGTAGAAGAGCCAATCACATATTGAAAAGTCCGCCCTTGAAAGTGGTTTAATGTATCAAAAGCAGGTGCCTGCCAGTGCAGTTATCTTTTGTTTGAGAGAAGCCCATACCAAACTTTCCTCTCCCTCCTCGAGTCCCAGCTGCAAAAAAGCCAACATGAAAAAGCAGACACATACAGTTAGAAACAGTACAGATAAAAGCACAATGATGATAAAAAACTCCTACAAATGAGGGCCCTTTTTGGGATGTCAATCCGTTTTTTACTGTAGGCAAGACAAAAACAGAAACCAGTAACCATGGCACAGAGTAACCATTTCACAGCTGAAAAGTGATATATAGAAAATCTGCAGTGCACCAGGCTCACAGATCATGATTCTCTCGGACTTCAAACTTTACTGATCCCAAAGAATAATTAATTGAGAATTGCTCCAAATTAATATTGCCCTCTGGGATTACAAATTATCTTAATGTTACGGAAATGCACCAAGAGCAAACTCAAGAAAATAAAGGAAAGGAAACATGCAAGTTTTTAACCATGCTCCAACCGGTCTATTTTCCCAGTTCACCATGTTCTTCATGCGTACTAAAAGAACAAAATGTATGGAGGGATGGATTTCTCATCCTTCTCAAGAACATGTTTACAGGCCACAATGGACACAAGAAATGCTGAATATTAGACCGGTTCAGAGAAATTGGATTATGTCAGATTGAAAGCTGTCAGGTCATTTTAGATTGATATGACCTGCCCTTGTGTGGAAAAAACAAGCTTGTTTGCGTTGGGAGTGAGACTTCCAGTGACTGGACATTTTTTGGGATCAACTCTTGATCTTTGCTCCAAGAACAATATTTGACCTTGACAGTCCACTCATCACAAATCAGGGAGAAATATGCACCTACATTTGCAACAGGTCAAAGTGTTCTGGTAAACCAAAATAATGTGACTTGACAAGACACATATGCTCACAAGAAAGTGAAAGGTGAAATCACAGTAGCTCTCAATTGAATGAAGCTTTTTATTATCACTATGACCGAGGTGTCGAAGGCGGAAGTCAACCGTAGATTCAGCCTGAGATGCACGGATGAAGATGTAACGGTAAAAAGTATTCAAGAACGCCAAACATACAAAAAATGCAAATAGAATAATCAACAAAGCAAGACAGGATTTACAACAAAAAAAAGAATATGGATGATAAACAAAAAATAAGCGCTAGCCAAGCATTTAGGGGTGTAGCTACACCATTTTAGACAGAAATACCCCTTAGAGGAGGAAGAAAAATCATGGATGGACATACGAAAATTAATATGACACAGCAAGGGATGTAACGGTTACACACACTCTGTATACTATGTCATGCTGGAATCATGGCCGAAGGAGTAGACCACAGCCCTTAGGACAATGTCGAGGGACAGCTGTAGGCAGCTATTCTGTCTGCAGAACATGCAGGAAAAGTTTTTGCGATGGCTCATCTGCATGATCATCACCCACAACTACAGCCAATGCTAGGTAAGTTAACTTTTATCGTTTTAGCTTAAATAGATCATGCGGGGGGACTTTGGATTGAGGGAGCATGCAACGATTTGTCCGATTATCCGTTTGTCATATCTGTTAGGTTAAATTTTCATACCGTGACACCCCTAGACACAGCCATAAAGGGACAAATCTGTAAGCCGGATAACCGATTTGCCCTTATGCAAAAACAGTATTTTAGTCCAGGACTCTTAATCAAAATGGGCCTTTCCTGGTTAAAAATAAATAAATAAATATTTATGAAGGATCCAGACAAACCCCGAAAAGATTACGGCAGGCACTCATGGAATATGGCCTTTGATCAAAGCAGAAAATCATTGATAATTAGAAAAAAAAGATACATATTTTGTTTCGACTAACGGAAATGAGCAGTAAATTGTTCATAATTTAATTGATTAAAAAGTGAAATAAAGTAAGTAAGTAAGTAAGTAATCTTTATTTATATACAATAAAATAAAAATAAAAAAAGAGACTTTACAACAACAACAAAAATAAAGACTAGTAAACAACAAATGAGTAGCTCAGGGTTCAGGTGAGAGGAGAGAAGGGAGTGTAGAGAGTGTGGTGGAGCCAGAGCTCGGGGCTCCACACCATGTCTTGACAGAAGAAAGGCATGGAATCGAACTCATCCTTTGCAAATGGGGCGAAGCTCGAGCTGAATTTCACAATTTGTGAGATGGCGCTGGATGCAATACACAGAGGACTACTGTACCGGTGTCTTTACCTGTGCTCCTCCGGCGATGGGGACCACACATGTGAGAAGATTTCCCACCACAGTCTCTAGAGGAACCGTGAGATGTTCCACATGAACAGTGTACACCAGGCTCAGGCAGTTCTGCGGCACACAAAACAATCACCTTTTATATCTGACAGAAACAATATATCGCCTTGGAGTAGGTATCTATTTTTGTTTATTACCAAAGTCTTTTTAAAGGGCATTGGATGCTAAGTTTATGTAAGAGGCATATTCCAGCCTTTTACCGTTTTGTATTTGACACGTGACTGAAATGTGACCACCGGCAGGGAATAGGGAATAATACTTATTTTTAGATCATATATAAAATAAAATAAAGTTTGAGAAATGTTTATAATTATATCATTCATTCATTCATTCACAGCGGCTTAACACACCACATATCTTAAATGCAGCTATTCCTCTCACGCTTAAAAATATCTTTACATGCACATGGTAAACATGATGTAGCTGCACAGTGAAATACATGATGTATATGTATATATACATACTTTTTTTTTTGAGTTGCTCCATTACGATGCAAAAGGGTATGAGCACAGTGTTCTGGGTGATTTGGGAACATTACTGGACATGTGTCCTCCTGCTACCCTTTGAACCAATGGCTCCAATGTGTTTGCTGTCATCGTATTCAAACCGTTTGATTCATTGACCAATGTTGTTGGTGAAGCAACAACTGCTGTTGTGATTTAGGGCTATTGAAAATTACATTGAATTGAATTGAGGTCCCCAGTTGAGCTTACACATGCATATCCAGCAGTTTCTTACTGAGGAGAGCAGGTTTTACTGTGTCAAAAGCACTGGAGAAGTCAAAGAACAACTCTCCGTGCAGAAGGATGTATACGCATCTTCAACACAAAGATTGGGTTGATACGCAAACTGCAGGAGGTCCAGTTTTGGTGCAACCACAATGCATAGATGTTGTAAGATCAGAATTTCCAGTGACTTCATAACATGTGATGTTAAAGACACTGCTCTATAGTTGCTGTGAAGTTGGCCTGCTCTTTTTCGCACTGGTACTAGACTTTTCCACAGTGCACTGACTGTCTTCATGCTCAGCCTCATGGTGAAAATGTACACTATGGCACAATGTTTAAGCACTCTTGGTATGATATCATCAGGTCTAGCAATCGACAAATGGCTCTTTTCTCACATACTCTGGTGTTGGATTGGTTATTGAGGTCTCCAATAGAGGCCCTGGGCTGCACGGGCTTCCTGTGCTGTTGTTAAATCCGTAATAAGTAAATATCTAACTGATTTTGCATCATCTGTATCTTCTTCCACTACCTGATCATTCTTTTTCCCATGATTAATCATGTGTTGGATCTCATTCAATTCCATACCTCCTTTAAATTGTTGTTATAGAGCTTGTTTTTCTGTTTATTCTTGTATTTTTCTTTCCCCTCTTCAATTTTGTTCACCTAAATTATGGCCTACCTAAAAGTATATTTGTAGTGGAGTAAAACTCACTCTGAAGACTTCAGTGTGGTCTAGTCGTGACACCAGCACCAGACTCTTGGGTCCAAACACTCGTTCTGTGTGTGACACGGACACCTCATCAGCCTCATCACTTGCCTCGGACTTCTGCAGCTGGAGACAACCACACATGAGAAATACACACACATCAATTCTTCTATTGCTTTTGATTTAAAGATCGTATGCAGGGTTTGTCAAAACATTGTGGGTATCAAAATTGCAAGACAGATTATCAATTAATAGATTAAGGCAAAAATTATTTGCATATAGTTATATTCTATAAAAATGTGGTTTTTAATACATTTGCGATGTCTTTGCCTCGAACCCAGAAGTGTGATGTCACACCAGAAACAGCAATTACGAGAACGAGAAACCAGCCAAAATACCTCGTCTTTGGACTGAGTATCAATGGATGAAGAGCAAAGAATGACAAGAAGAAGTCTTGCACCTTTTGACACACATTTGAGCCCAAATCTTGCTCGGACGAATAGAGGAGGCAAACCCAGAATCAGACCCGGAGGAGGCGTTTAGAAGGCAACTTGACGCAGATCGGTTAAGAAACATGCCTCTTATACCGGGAAAATAATCAGTGACAATTTGTTAGGGCCTGTAAGTGTGAAAAGTGCCTACCGCCATTAAATCAATAACCAAAAACGTCAACAAAATAGGGGTGGCCAGTATATATCGCAAAAGTGAATTTGATTATTTGCCTTTCCGCATTAAGGTCAATTAAAATATATATATAAATTGTTTTCTTCTTTACATATCTCCAATACATATTACTATTAGAGCAGACAAGATGCCCATTGGTCAAATACGTGCCTTTTTGGATGTGTTTGTCTGAAAGCCTATGCGACAAACACTCACCTTTACGTCTGCACCCGAACACCTGACCATGTGAATGGTGCGCGTTCAAAACACAGACCATGTGGTGCCATAGACGCTGCTTTGGACACCGCAAAATCGTTTGTGCGTTTTGTTGACCCAAGAAGTAAGTTCTTGTAGTTCTTGTGATCTTTAGAAGAATTTGGGAAGGAAGATTTACGTTGTGTAGTTTGTCATTATTTGCAAAAGAGTTTTCCCAATCTGTGTTTGTCTGCAGCTAATTAAGATAACTATGGTACAGAGGAGGCGTGGCCTAGGAGAACGAGCGTCACGCAAAGTTTCTATTCAGCACTTTTTATGGCCTGAATTCATACCATAGACTGTAAATATTCATACACAAGCTGAATCAATGCGCTCAAATTTTCAATTTAATTACGGGTGTTAATACTACAAAAAATAAGATAAGATATTCTTTATTTATCTCACAAGGAGGAGAAAATGTTAATAATGTTAATGCCCTTTTATGTGGATTTATTGTTAGAATAAAACTGTAAATAATACAGTACATACTGTACGTACACTATGTTGTCATATAGTTTTCCATTTAAATAATCATTTACAGAAAAAATATGGCATAATCTTGCCGTTAGTTCGAAATGCAATTAATTACGATTAATTTCTAAGCTGTAATTAACTCGATTAAAACTGTTAACCGTTTGACAGTCCTAGTAAAAATCATTGATTTGAAAGATATCGTGACAATATTGTTATCGGGAGTTGGGGAAAAACGGCCACCCCTACATCAGAAACCTCCTCTTTTCTTCTTTATTTCAAAAGATACAAACCGCATAAGGTCTTTAAGGCTGTGAGCCAGCCACTGTTTATTATACTTTCAAATCCGAGCTGGTCTCCAACAGGTCTTTTCACAGAATTTTGTCCCATCTCTATTGAGGAGAAAGTGTAAGTGTTTTTGTCGTTGTCCTCCAAGTAGTGTGGCAGTACCTGTGGGAAGTCCACAGCCTCCCAGAAGGTGAAGCAGGCGCAGTAGTTGCGCTCCGAGTTGATGTCTGTCAGAACGGCCACAAAGAAGGAGGCAGGCTGTTGCTCTGGGACCAGCTGCCACCCACTGGGCTGACAGAACTACACAACAACAACATCATCAACATGTTAGGAAAACATACTTTACAAAACTATGTCCAAGCTTTGTAGAACATTCTCTTCTATTTTAAAATGTTTAAAAACAAACACATGACTTCACTAACTCACTGTGCATGCTTCCTCACACTCCAGGGAAACATTTGGTAATTACATTTTAGAGGGCTGAATAGTATCTGGACATCCCTACTAGGGTTTAATCCCGGGACACAGGATTCCCGGGAAATCTGATCAAAACTATTTCCCGATTCCCAGGAAATGTTATGATGGGAAACGGAAAATGAAAGTAAAAAAGAATTCCAGTGCGCTCGTATTTAGGGGTGTGACGATATATCGATTTTTCAATATATTGTGATACTATCTCCCGCGATTCGATTATCGATATGCATTTGCCAAGTATCAATATCAATTTAAAAAAAAATAAAATATATATATATTTTTTTTGAATTGGTATCAATACTTTATATATATGGCTACGTTATGCATCTCCATTCTATTTATCATGAAATAAAGAGTATTTTTTCTTTTATTTATGCCATAAATTGGCATATTGTATATTTCTGACCAATATATCAATAATCGTCATATCGTGATAAAATCGTTATCGTAATATCGTTATATTATCGTTATCGTGAGCTTTGTATCGTGTATCGTATCGTATCGTCAGGTACCCTTAGGTTCCCAACCCTACTCTATTATAGTGCGCGTTTATTGTCAACATATCAACATGTCTACAGCTGAGAGGATGGCTCATAAATTGTGTTTTTGACAACAAATATGGGTCTTAATCACGCTAATCCACGGCTTGTAATATCACCAATTGAGGCCATTCTGTGTACCGCATGTGAATTTTCTACGTCCAATTCTATCAGAAAGCTCCTTTCTTTTTTTCATCTGCTAAGGGCAGCAACAGGTTTGGCTAACAAACAGATAACACATTTTAAGATAATTTAAAATGTATTTAGGGTAATCTTATGCTTCCAATGACAATATGAATTATAAGGAAGAGAGGTGAAGGGTAAGAAGGTTGATATTAGAAAATGGATGCACCCGAGAGCCGGCTGCAATTAGCAAAACACAGAGAAGTTTATGGAGGAGGCACCAGTTTTGTTTTAGTCTTTAAAACTCTTTGGACTTATTTCCAAATGGAGGATTACATATCTACGCTCAAACTATTATCTGGACTTAAACATGAAACTGTTCTGAACTGAAGTGGTCTGTGCTGTTCATTAATAACTAAGGTAAGGCCCATAACACACTTGGAAATGTGCTCTTTACGAACTTTTGCGTTTTGTATGAGCAAACAATGCGGGCATGGAACATATTCTGCTGTAGCCAAACTAATTGTGAATAAGCCGCTCTGTAGGTCCTGGTGATTTATATGATATACGTATATGTATATGATATATCTGATTGGGCTGAAGTCAGTGCCTCCAAACCACATGCACGTCACTGGTCGACAAGTGGATTGCGCAGACATTTAGAATCTCAGCATAGTGAAATTTATGAAGAAAGCCCATCAACAAAATGTCTGAAAACGCTAGATGGCTGCTTTAGCAAAGCTAGCAAGTCGCTTGGTGAAACACTAGCGGAGATGGCAGCTTTTGATGAATCATATGTTTGAGTGATATCATACATTACTTGGGCTAAAAACAACAACTACAAATAACAACTATTTCCTGGGATTTCCCGGGATTTGATACATCTCATTTTCAGGAAAAATATTGAACCATAAGATTCATAACATAAGATTCAACGCCTCGTAAGAACCTCAGACAATTGTCAGCAAAGAAGTCCTCATATCTGTTTGAGATTATTACAAAACTCTACTTATGTAGAACTAAAGAATGCAAACTACTGCTATGAGGGATGTAAAACATCCCTCATAGCAACACTGTTGCACTGTTCCTCATCCAACACAAACCTTGAGCTGTTTTTAGTTCTGCACCTTCTTAAAATGACCAATCCTCAGACTATCATTTAAATATCAGTCCCTCCAAGATTTTGTGGAAAATGAATTAGAAATTAGAAATAAAATTAGAGGTGCACCGATCAGGATTTTTTTGGCCGATCACCGATCACCGATAATTAAAATGTTTATTGGCCGATACCGATCATGGCCGATCCGATCAAATATTGAAAATATTAGTGATAAATGAATAGGACTAGTTATTCACTTTATAACTAATCTTTCAAAACCATCAAGGTAGGTAGTATAAATAAAATGCCCTAGGGTACTCAAGACAAAAAGGTTGGGAACCACAAGTATACGTTACAGAGCATTGAGATACATAAAAAAAAGTATGCAATGAGATGCAGCATATACAGTATTTCTGTATTTCTAAACTGATTAAAAAGAGATAGTTAAGGCAATGTTTTCTCTTCAGGAATATTAGCATCTAGGCTTTTGCAGGGGTTTATTACGTTTATCATTCTGAATAGTCCCGCTGCGCTAAACTCTCACTGTCTACACTTGTGCATGGAGCGCAGAGGAAAGACGCTGCTTTGGCCAAAGGAGGGAAGCGGCTTTTATTTTCCTTCCAATAAACAAGCGGCTCTCTGCTCCGATGCGCAACTACGTAGGAAGTAAGGCTAAATCTGCGACACCGTAGGACTGTCTGTACTACCACTACACTCATCTTGATTCAATATTTCTGTGAAGATAACATGCAAAGTCCTGACACGGGATGTTTCTGCCAGACGGCAGCGCCTCGCTGCTGAGTGTGTTCAGTGTGTGTGCTGTGTCTGCGCGGTGTGACTCTAGCTCGTTATTATAATAGATCCATGCTCTGGAGTGTCAATGTGAGAATATAATCAAATATCTCCGCAATGGCATATTGAAGCAGTGAACATGAGTGGTTTGAACCTAGCGCTTTCCGCAACAGACAAGCGCTGGGGGCAGAGGGAAATAAATTCTATAACTTCCGTGCATATTTTGTGTTCTTTCTTACGTCATTACTGGTGCCGCTGTAGAATCTCCGTTACTGATAGCTGCATGAGTTGCTTGTTTACGCAATTTTGACGAGAGAACGTAACTTGCGCGCATAAATCCTCATGTCATCTGATTGGTCTTTGTGATCTGCACATTTCACCGATCACACAAATTAAGCCGTGATCGGCCGCTTATAATCGGCTACCAATCGATCGGTGCACCTCTAGATAAAATGCATGATTTCAAAGGACTTTTTTCTAAAAGTTGCAATGGCAAATTGTGATTTTTCCTCTTGTAAAATATTCTTTCTGAACAATAAAATACATTTTTCTAATATATAAATGCACAATTTAAAAAGATCAATTACCATAAAAGACAAAGCAAGTTACAATTTTGTCAATAAGTTATTACGTTAGATCCATGCTCTGGTATCATTGGCTTGGCCAATGATACAGTGCCTTGCGAAAGTATTCCTTTCAACATTTCGCCACATTTCAGGCTTCAAACATAAAGATATAAAAAAAAAATGTTTTGTCAAGTATCAACAACAAGTGGGACACAATCGTGAAGTGGAACAAAATTTATTGGATAATTTAAACTTTTTTAACAAATAAAAAACTGAAAAGTGGGACGTGCAATATTATTCAGCCCCCTTGCGCTAATACTTTGTAGCGCCACCTTTTGCTGCAATTACAGCTGCAAGTCGTTTGGGGTATGTCTCTATCAGTTTTGCACATTGAGAGACTGGAATTCTTGCCCATTCTTCCTTGCAAAACAGCTCGAGCTCAGTGAGGTTGGATGGAGAGCGTTTGTGAACAGCAGTCTTCAGCTCATTCCACAGATTTTCGATTGGATTCAGGTCTGGACTTTAACTTGGCCATTCTAACACCTGGATACGTCTATTTGTGAACCATTCCATTGTAGATTTGGCTTTATGTTTTGGATCATTGTCCTGTTGGAAGATAAATCTCCGTCCCAGTCTCAGGTCTTTTGCAGACTCCAACAGGTTTTCTTCCAGAATGGTCCTGTCTTTGGCTCCATCCATCTTCCCATCAATTTTAGCCATCTTCCCTGTCCCTGCTGAAGAAAAGCAGGCCCAAACCATCGTTTTGCATTGTGGCCAAAAAGTTCGATTTTGGTTTCATCTGACCAGAGCACCTTCTTCCACATGTTTGGTGTGTCTCCCAGGTGGCTTGTGGCAAACTTTAAACGAGACTTTTTATGGATATCTTTGAGAAATGGCTTTCTTCTTGCCACTCTTCCATAAAGGCCAGATTTGTGCAGTGCACGACTGATTGTTGTCCAATGGACAGACTCTCCCACCTCAGCTGTAGTGATCGGCAGTTCATCCAGAGTGATCATGGGCCTCTTGACTGCATCTCTGATCAGTCTTCTCCTTGGTCTGATACTCCTTCCATTTCAATATAATTGCTTGCACATTGCTCCTTGAGATGTTTAAAGCTTGGGAAATCTTTTTGTATCCAAATCCGGCTTTAAACTTCTCCACAACAGTATCTCGGACCTGCCTGGTGTGTTCCTTTGTCTTCATGGTTCTCTCTGCGCTTTAAACAGAACCCTGAGACTATCGAAGAGCAGGTGCATTTATACGGAGACTTGATTACACACAGGTGCATTCTATTTATCATCATCAGTCATTTAGGACAACATTGGATCATTCAAAGATCCTCACTGAACTTCTGGAGTGAGTTGGCTGCACTGAAAGTAAAGGGGCCGAATAATATTGCACGCCCCACTTTTCAGTTTTTTATTTGTTAAAAAAGTTTAAATTATCCAATAAATTTCGTTCAACTTCACGATTGTGTCCCACTTGTTGATTCATGACAAAAAAAAAATAATTTGATATCTTTATGTTTGAAGCCTGAAACGTGGCGAAATGTTGAAAGGCACTGTATGCTCTGTTTGACCGGTCACTTGGATCCCGGTGTGCACTCAGAGCTGCAGGCAAGCAATGGATAATGTTACTCTGTGGTAGAGTTTCGCTTTTCAGCCCGAGCCCGAGCAGGCCCGAGGCCCGACCTGAGTTCAGGCCGGGCTCGGGCCTCATTTGGCGCTCAGCTGTCGGGTTCGTTCCGGGCTCGGGCTTCTTTTTTTAAATATATGTTTCTTTTTTATTATTATTATAATTATTTTTAAATGATTTTTATACATAATGATATACATATATATATATTAATAACAATGTCCGTTGATTGACAACAAGTTATTAAAAATAGTTAATATATTAATGACACCGTAACCAGCGTGTCCTACAGCAGCAGCGAGCCGTGAACGCATCATCCCCGTGTCTCCTGCTGCATGCTGTGGTCAACAGCGAACAGGAACAATAGTAGAAATGGATCAAGTGGAGACAAAACAAATTCAAAACTGGAGACTAAACTTGCAATTGGAAGGTGAGTGCGTACAACGGGAAATCTGATGTGTCGGGTTCTGTCGGGCTCGGGCCTGTTATACAGCGTTCATTGGTCGGGCTTAACATTAGCGGGCTCGGGCCGGGTCGGGCTTCATTTTTCAGGCCCGAACGAAACTCTACTCTGTGGTATATAGAGGGGACAGGGCGAGGTGATACAAGGCAATGATTTTGCGTTAATAGTTGCGATCGCAACATCGCAAAATTGGAGGGACCTGAACTAAAATATGACATTCCAAAGTACATATTTTGAAAGCAGATGTTTAAGTGCCAAAATCAACACCAAGAATTGTGACTGTATGCACGTATGTATTCTTGATTGTGTTTGTGGCTGTGGTCCACTCACCAGCTCGATGCCTTGGGGGAAGGGGCTGTCCTCCCAGTCCTTCTCTGGAAACCTCTGCAGGATCCGGCCCTGGCCCTCTCCCTCTGAAACACACAAGAGAAACAATCACATATCTAATAATATTTTTTTATCAGAATTGTAGAATAATGAAAGTAACAAAATCAGCCAAAAAGCTAAATTTCCTCAATAATTTTATTATTCTAATAAAATAGCATTAAATCACCAATGCAATAACGTCCACAAACGTCATATACTGTAAAGAAAAGAGAACCAGCGTCTTAACACATCTAGGTGCTGACACTGCTCCTCATCAAACATCTTTGCGAAGCACAGGTGCGGGAGACACGAGGAGGGAGAGAGACGGGAGGACGGAGAGGAACGCGAGGAGTTGCGTCTCTCTCGACTCTCTCCCTCTCCGAGGCGCGAGGAGGGAGAGAGACACGAAGAGGGAGAGAGACACGAAGAGGGAGAGAAACGCGAGGAGGGAGAGAAACGCGAGGAGGGAGAGAGACGCGAGGAGAGAGAGACACGAGGAGGGAGAGATGCGAGGAACATGAACAAAAATTTAAACAAGTTGCAGAAGTTGAGCAGTGTTCGAATTGGTGTTTTTCAGAGAAGTACTATTATGCAGCTATATATCTGGTAAATTTCCAACCTAAAACACAGAGATTGACAAATTCCTCCCCTGCAGCCGGACTAACCTCGTAAGTCCAGTGGCAGTCTTTCAGTCTATATTATTTCTTGCTTCGATTGAAGGTCCAGTTGATAAAAAAAATCTTCAGCCAAATCATTCATTTTCCAGCAAAAGAAATAGCACCGATAGGACTGATTGTTAGCAACTCTGGTATGAACTTCATGCTGAGTGTCAGGCTGTCGGTCAGGCTTTTTCCTTGTGTATTCTTCTCCGATCAAAACATTTAAACTAAATAAAAATTGAACATACATGCGTGCAATACGTTACAAAAAACTATGAGAAGTTTAACAAATGTTTTCAAAGCAGGATATTAGAAACAAACAGCGATATATCAACAGCACGAGCTGAGTGCACTCGCACAGTCCACTGTGAGGGAGCGAACGATCTGGGGTGAGGCACACAGGAGAGCTGCCTCACCTCATCTGTTTGAATAGTAAGAATAGGATTTCAGCTATTTTGACTACAGAAATGATCAAAACTGGTCGGAACCGTGCCTAAAATACATTAAAATCATAGGACAGTGGAAAACAATTATATATTACAACTAAAATCATTATTTTTTTCAATGATGGCAGGTGACCCCTGACTGCATGTCATTAATGTGGATCAACAATGCTATACGGTAATAGTTACATTATAATTCAAGTAATATGAAGAGGGTTTGAAAGACCTATGTACATAAGTTTGATATAGTGCCTAAACATTCAATTATGCCATTTATAGCATTATTTATTCACTATACATATTGTGGTTCTAACTGTAGCCTCTGCTGCCCTGGGGAAAACTGACAGGAGTGAGCCTGTCTACAGATGCAATTGGCCCACCCCACCACCAGTTATTCAAGCAAATATTAGACACAACAACCTGGTATGACAGTGGTCTCCCATCACATTACTAAACAAGCCCCACACTGCTTAACGCTGGTGGTGTACCTAATTGTAAAAAAAGTGAAAAGAAAAAGTGTCTCACTGGTTTTCACATGCATGTATTTTTGGCTCTATCAAATGTTTAGATCAGCTTTTTCAGACAGAACAGTGAATAAAGAGAATCACCCTCACTCCGCTGTCAGCCCAAAAAGTCAAATAACAGGCCTTTCAATTCATATTGACCACCCCACGCTTCCTTGTCATTGCAATAAAGTTGAAATGATTCCTCGAGTTACTCGAGTAAATTGAGTACAAAAATTATTGGAGGAAATTCTGCTGCCTCACAGTGAACGCTCACGTCTGTTTATGTGTACCTCGCAGATCCTACATGCCCTGCATTACACTCTCTTTGCTTGTATTTGTAAAACATTTTCTCCCACATAGCTCCGTAGACTGTACACTTTCGAAACACATTACAAGATGGAGCTAACAGACACTTATAACACTGACTGATCTAGTGGAAATAATGTATATTCTACTGCAAGAAATATCATTTTTAAGTGGTTTGTCATTTGATATAGTAAATGTATAAGTAAGCCATAATTAAACAAAAATATTATTTATTATATTTCTCACCGACATTAGAATGTTATTCAAGTTATAATTTTAGTAAATCACATAGACTCCAGAAAGACTCCAGGAAGTCTGGCACTCTTGTATGTTAAACACCAGAGGAGGCAGGCTTTTGAACATGCTAATAAGGAAGGTCTTGTCATTGTTCCTTGCTCTGTTGCTTCTTCCTTTCTTATCTGCATATGAAGGTGTGTCTTCTAGTATGAAAGGAGCTACAGACTAGGGTTTAATATTTTTCCCAAAAATGAGACGTATCAAATCCCGGGAAAAGACGACGCCTTTCCCGGGAAATCCCGGGAAATAGCTGTTGTTTGTAGTTGTTGTTTTTAGCCCAAGTAATGTATGATATCACTCAAATATATAATCCAACAAAAGCTGCCATCTCCACTAGTGTTTCACCAAGCGACTTGCTAGCTTTTCTAAAGTAGCCATAGCGTTTTCAGACGTTTTGTTGATGGGTTTTCTTCAGGAATTTCACTATTATGAGATTCTAAATGTCTGCGCAATCCACTTGTCGACCAGTGACGTGCGGTGTGGTTTGGAGGCACTGACTTCAGCCTTGTCAGATGAACATATATCATATAAATCAACAGAACCTACAGAGCGGCTTATTCACAATTAGTTTGGCTACAGCAGAATGTTTTCCATGGCCCGCATTGTTTGCTCAAACAAAACGCAAAAGTTCGTAAAAGGCACATTTCCAATTGTGTCATGGGTCTTACCTTAGTTATTAATGAACAGCACAGACCACTTCAGTTCAGACCAGTTTCATGTTTAAGTCCAGATAATAGTTTGAGCGCAGATATGTAATCCCCCATTTGGAAATAAGCCCAAAGAGTTTTAAAGCGTAAAACAAAACGGGTGCCACCTCCATAAACTCCTCTGTGTTTTCGCTGCAGCCGGCTCTCGGGCGCATCCAATTTCTAATATCAACCTTCTTACCCTTCTCCTCTCTTCCTCATCATTCCTATTGTCATTGTAAGCAGAACATTACCCTAAATGCATTTTATATGATTTTAAAATTTGTTATATGTATGTTAGCCAAACCTGTTGCTGCCCTTAGCAGATGGAAAAAAAGAAAGGAGCTTTCTGATGGAATTGGACGTAACCAAATGACGTATCGGGGTCCCTGTCCTTTGAAGTAGTCAGGACAGAGAGAAAAAGGAACCCCTGACGTATCGGGGTCCCTGTCCTTTGAAGTAGTCAGGACAGAGAGAAAAAGGAACCCCTGACGTATCGGGGTCCCTGTCCTTTGAATTAGTCAGGACAGAGAGAAAAAAGAACCCCTGACGTATCGGGGTCCCTGTCCTTTGAAGTAGTCAGGACAGAGAGAAAAAGGAACCCCTGACGTATCGGGGTCCCTGTCCTTTGAAGTAGTCAGGACAGAGAGAAAAAGGAACCCCTGACGTATCGGGGTCCCTGTCCTTTGAAGTAGTCAGGACAGAGAGAAAAAGGAACCCCTGATGTATCGGGGTCCCTGCCTTTGGAGTAGCCGGGGCAGAGAATAGAGAATAGAAAATAATTAGTGAAACCATGGTGTAAAATTTAAAGTTATAATAAAAAGGGAAATTAAACACTAAGAGTGCCTTTTGTTACAAGTGTGGAAAGTGATCACTTCTAGACTTGGATGACAAAAGTTTAAAGAACAACATCAGTTATATTTGCTTAAATGAAATCTCACACAAATTCTGGGCTCACATGTGCCCCGTACCCTGAGCCTGGCCTCATTACAAGTCGTGGTTTAGCGCAATTAAGACCCATATTTGTTGTCAAAAACACAATTTATGAGCCATCCTCTCAGCTGTAGACATGTTGATTGTAAATGAAATATGTTTGAACTTTGAACAACAATAAACGTGCTTTATAATAGGAGCGCACTGTATTTTTTTTAAACTTTCATTTCCCGTTTCCCATCATAACATTTCCCGGGAATCGGGAAATAGTTTTCATCAGATTTCCCGGGAATCCCGTATCCCGGGATTAAACCCTACAACAGACTCTCTGAGCTTCAGATTTGTTCCTGAGAGAGGCTGGGCTCTGTGCATTGCCTCAGTCAAGGCATTTTCTCCTTGTAAAATGTAACAAGTAAAATATTAACTTTGTTTGTTGTGTGAGATTTTGTCAGGTTCAACTGTATTTGAAACAGCATTAACACTCACTTAATCGATCTGGATATGAGATAGAATACTTGATCACTAAAATAATCGATAGCTGCAGCTCTACATTTAAACTCACCTTGCACCTTTTTGCTGGGCCGTGTTCAGTGTAAACACAGTGGCCAAATATAGCAGTAATTAAGAAAACCAAACAGTTTTATCAGCATGCCTGGGCCTGCTAACGTTGAAGGGACATGTCCCTCAGCTGTCCAGAGAAAGTCTGAGGATTCCCCCGGATGAGCTGGAGGAAGTGTGTGTGGATAGGGAAGTCTGTCTCTGCAGACTGCTGCCCCGCAAAACCTTGTGATCTGTCGAGATGGTCTGCCCATAACTGGATAGCTTGGATCTTATAGGTTGGTATTAGGCCTGTCGCAATATTCAATAAATCAATCAATCGCATTGGAGAGGATGACAAAGTCTGGGATCGCGTCTATAATTCAGACAGAAGACATGTTTTATTGTCGATGGTAGAGACAGCACGAACAACACGAACACAGAATGCAAGTGTATTATACAGAGCGGAGGCATGGAGACCTCCAATCAGCAGCTTCCACGGTGCCAGTAGAGATAGTCAAAACATGAAGTGGAAAAGTACAGGCTTCTGCACATTGATAGAATGATGAGTTTAACCTAAACAAAAGTTGCTTCAAAGTGTTATGAAATCTCACAGCATGGTAATTAAAATTAGCTCGATAATTTTTTTGGCCGCATAAATTCCATTTGCATGCTTGTTT